CATGTGGGCAGACAGACCTGGGCCGGCCGGCGGGCGTCCTGGGAAGCCTGGGAACCGCGGTGCCGCCCAGTCCAGGGGCCACCCTCTTCCCCACGCTCCCGCTGCCAGGGCCTGGCTCTCTCTGGGCACCATCGCCCTGAACCCCAGGGGTACATGGCTACTGGGAAGGGGCCCCGGCGGCGGGCACCTGCGTGGCAGTGCCCCCTCCAGCAAGACCCAGACTTCTTGTGCCTGTGGATGGGAGTGGCCTTGGCCCCGGCCCTGGGCTCCGTGCAGGGGAAACCCCACAGGAAACGAGCCTGGCCAAATGGCCGCCCTTCCCGTTCTCGTCCCTGGGACACGAATATGCTGTCTCACTTCCGGAGGCGGCCCTGGGAGGCTGGCCGCTGTGCTGGACCAAGTCGGCTCCCACTTGGTGCCCCCAGACCCTCAGGGTACAGGGCTGGGCTGGGGCCAGTGTGGGGGGTGTTGGCGTGAGTGGGGGTCCAGGGAGACACTCTCACTGCCTGCTTCCTGGTGGTAGGTGACCCCAGATCTGGACACTGGGGTCTTTACGGCTTGGGGCTCCCTTGTTTCCATTGTCCCGCCCGATGCGGACGGCATCACCCTGTCCTGATGGTGTGTGTGACGTAGGGCACACCATTTATGAAGCGGGTAGTTGACGCTGTTTGTAGATGGGGAAACTGAGGCCCAGAGAGGTTGAGTGGTTGGCCCAGGGTCACCCAGTTGGGAAGCTGCAGAGCAGGGGTAGGGTGGGGTTCAGGTGGTAGGCAGACTCTAGAATGGGTGTCTTCTAGCCACTGGGCACTTATCAGAAGAGGATCTGTCACAGCTGTGTGACCTGTAGAGTCTCAAGGCTCCCTCCTTGAAGGACCTGAAGTGGATCTCATCTGTTACAGCTGCCTTGAAAACCTTCTTTTGGGCAGAGCTGGTGACGGAACCCGGGGCTTCGTGTAGCTGAGCACCTGCTCGTCTATTAAGTGGCACCCTAAGCCCCATGAAGTTCTTGATTTGCAAACAAGAAACCAGATTTTCATTCTGCACTGGTCCCCACAAATTCAGTGGCCTGCCCTGGTGGGGGGCGCTTGCTAAGCGACGTATCCCGCGGTGAGCTCTCGCGGGGTTATGTGCGAGAAGCTCTTGGCTCCATTTTGCAGATGGGGAAACTGAGGCGTGGGGCATTTGGAAAGAGGCAGAACAGGAGATCGGAACATCACTAGGGCTTTTTGGGTGGCAAAGCCAGTGGTGTCAGCCTGGGTCCTGTGTCCTGGGGGGTCGGATGAGTGCTCCGGGGGAGCTGGGCCCTCTGTGCCCATATCCGCCCTGAAGGGATTCGGGCTGAGGCCCGGCCACAGCCACAGGGGAGACAGGACCACTGGGGGGAGGCCTGGTGGTTTCCTCCTGGCCCTCCGGCTTCTAGGAAGTGGCGCCAGCTGGGGTGAGATCACTTCCTCACCCGCCTGCCTGCCCCCCCTCGGCTTCCTCTCGCCATGGCCCCGTTTGGCCTGCCCCAGGCACGGGGTGGGGGTGTGGGGAGGAGTGGAGGGAAGGCTGGGAACTGGCTCTGGGAGTTCCTGCAGCCTCCTTGGCCCAAGGTGGCTCTCTGGGCATCTCTGCCTCTAGGGCTGGGACCAGGAGTGGGGTCCAGCTACGGCCAACGCTTCGTCCTGCGACCGCCTGTGGGGAGCAGCTTCCTCGCGGGCCCCAGAAGGGGGCCAGTCAGGACCTGGAGAGGTGGCGTCCCCAAATCTCATGACCTCCTTTGCTCTTTCTCACCTCCAGGTGCCAGCCTCTGGGCCCACCCAGTGCCCCTCCCCCTGTGCCACGGCCGGCTGGGGTTCCTGGGGATGGGATTTGCTGCCAATCACAAATCACATTGCCAGGGATTTCCAACCGACCCTGAGCTCTGCCTCCGGGGCCACCGTTGCTGCTGAGGATGTCACCGGGGACAGAGTGTCAGATGCCCTGCCATCACCTATGCTGGCCTGAGGAGCAGGGCTTAGCTGCTTGTGAGCAGGATCCACACCAAGTCGTGTTCACAGTGGCTAAGTTCCGCCCCCCGGGCTCCCACCTCCTCGGGGCCTGCCCGCTGCCCACTGCCCGCTGCCCGCTCCCTGGGCTCCGCCCCCCGTGCCTACTGAGCTGAAACACAGTTGGTTCGTGCACACTGGCTCAGTTCAGCAGGAACAGGGGTCAAGCCCCCTCGGAGTCCGCAGCCCCTGTGCGGCTGGGTCAGCCGCCCAAAGGTGAGGCCAGCCCCAGACCCAGGTGTGTCTGGAGAAGGGATGTAGAAAGGAGGGGGTGGCCGGCCCAGCTGGCTGTCCTGTCTGCTGCAGGTCTCTTCTCCCTAGACTGCCCTTTGGGGACCCTCCCATGGCCACACTGTGGGTTGGGCTGTGGTCCCCGGTGGACATGGAGATAGGTGGGTGGCCCTTCCAGAAAAAGGGAAGCCAGCTGTGTCCCCTCCGGTCTGGCACCCCAGCCCCTCCTCTCCCCAGCCTGCCCCTGTCCCATCAACGAGGCAGTTACCCAAGAGGAAGCTGCTCGGCCCCTGACCGTTAAGTGCCAACTCCCAGCTTCCGGAACCCAGCTGGCCTGGCCTGGCCTGGCCTGGCCGAGTGAGCCTGGCCCTGCTCCCGGGGCCTGCAGACTCCTAATTGTGGGGATGAACAGTGACACCTGTGCCTACCGGGAACGAGGGACAGGGAACCAGGTCCAGGTGGGCCCACACAAGCAGGCTGACCTCCTCCTGGTGGCCTTGAAGGTGGAACTTAAAGCCTATCCTGAAATTGGCTGGGATGAGAGCCCCTTGGGGTGGGACCCAGAGGCTGAGGGGAGCCCCCAGGCCATCAGCGCTGGACCGGGTCCTCTTTCCCAGCCCAGGGGCAGGCCGAAGCCCAGGGTGGGAGGGAGAGTTTGTGTTGTGTGTTGTGCAGTTAATTAAATAAAGTCACTAGCCTTGTCCTGAAGGTCTGCGGTCTGGTCCTTGGAGATCCAGGTTTTGATCCTCCTGAATCCTGGCCCCCGGGCTCCTGACCCCACCTGCTCTGAGGAGGGTGGGAGGAGGCTGGAATTTATTCATGTGGATGGAGGGTGTCCTGAGCTTGAACAGGGTGACTGACTTTTGGGGTGACAGGGAAACCCCCATAGGGAGCATTTACTGAGGTTACCTGAAGGATGCCCAGGGCCCCCGGGATGGAACTGGCCCCGAGGCTGTGGTGGTGGGGTGACCCTGGGCCTTAGGGGTGATTCGGACACAATTGGGATGTCAGTCTAGAGCTAGTGACATTTGGGGGGCAGCTGAGATTTGAGGCTTGGCGGGACAGATACTTGGGGTACTGGCACCAGAGCATGCAGAGGGAATTTTGACTTGCGATGGTGGGCGACCTGAGAAGGACCCCAGGCCCATGGGGAACATTTGCGTCAGCGGAACCCGAGTGGCGCCCCAGGTACATGAGGAACTTCTCTTGGTGACAGCAGCTTAGGTACAGGAAGGCGCGCTCCAGGTTCAAGACCATTTTGTCACTTCCACCATCCCAGGCCACCAGGCGGCGCTGAGGAGCACGTGGGCGGCCCCGGGTCAGCCCGCACATACCTGCGGGAACACGCAAGGCGGGGTAGGAGGCAGGGCCGCCCCCGATTGGTTCCTTCGAGCGGAGGGCGGTGCCACGAGCAAATCGCCCATCGGAGTCACGCCCTTGTCTGTGTGTGATCGCGGCGCCCTCTAGTGGCCGGCTCGCCCCTCCGGGAAAACTTTGTCCTCGCTTGCCCTGGCCCTGACAATGACCCAGACAGGCCCTTTGGCTGCCAGTCTCTGAAGACAGGAAGGCCTTGAAGAAGCCGCTCCCTGGGAAACCAGGGAAGGAGGACAACCAATGGTTTCCCTCGTCCCCAGACCCCTTAGCTCTATTTGGAGCCTCACTTGAAGTGATACTGGCCCAGCATGCCCTGGCGACACTCCTAAGACCACACCCACCTCTTTACCTGTCCAGAACTCTGCCCATCGAGGCCTAGTCTTAGCTCAGGGTTTCCGACTTTGGGCAGGGTGCCCTTTCCCATCAAGGAGCACCCAAGTACCTGCCATGGCCTCCTCCCATGCACGGTACCCCACAACCGCAGGTGCCTGGAGCCAAGGCGCACCCTAGTGGCCATTCTCGGAGGTGCAAGGGTCGTACAATTTGGGGCAGACACAGGTACTAAATCAAGATCAATTGCCTGCTAGCTGGCTGCCTTTTCCTGAAAGGTTGGAGCCTCAGTTTTCTTGCCTGTAGAAAGGGTATGGGGAATCCCACTGATCTGTAAGGCCGTGGAGCCATGCAGAAGACAGCTGAGAAGCACCCAGTGGTGAACACACTCCATCTCTTTTTCGTTGCTCACTCCACTACCTCTGGACGGCACCAGCAGCCACTCCCATTCCACCTCTTGCTTCAAACTACGCTCAGAAACGAAGCTGGAATTTTTTTTTTTTTTTTTGTCAAAGGAAGGGGGTAGCCCTGGCCCAGGATGCAGGAGAGGCACCCCCCAGTCTCAAAATAAATTAAAAAGAAACTGTGTTCCATCTTTAGAAAAAAAAAAAAAGAAAGGGAGTACAATATACCGTTCAATAAATAGAAAAAGTTACAAAATGATGATCTTTTTCCTTACTATACAAGAAGGGAAAAAGAGGGTGGGGGATGGTGGTCCTCCCTGCTCCTCCCTGGGCTGAGGCAGGGGAGGGGAGGGGGGCCGGAGAGACAGTAGCTGGGACTTAACAGAGATGAAGACAGAACAGGCTGAATGGTGAGGTGGAGACGGGGACAGGGAGGGACAAGCAGCTGAAGACACCAAGCTGCCTGCCTTTCTCCCCCAACACCAGGTTGAGAGGGCACACGGGCCTCGCCTGGTTCCTGAGTCATGTGTCCAGTGACTAGTGGGTGGAGGGAGGGGCAGCGATGGCCCCCACCCAGCCCACCCTGGGACCCTGGTGCCCAAGGGAATGGGGTCCTGGCCAGACAGGAGGACAAGGGGGTGAGGTATGTGGCTGAGGCCTGAGACCTCTTGAAATCCTTCAGTGGAAGTGGGGCGTTGGTCCTGGCAGGGCAGGGAGGGGGCACAGGACAGGGGAGGGGGGCCCCTGAGCAGTGGAAGAGGGGAAGGAAGGAGGGTAGGAGGAGATTCAGTCCCCTGGCCAGGCTGGTGGGCCCAAGTGCCAGTTGGGAAGGCCTGCCTTCCGGCCCCTCTCCTGGAGCCCACGCCAGGGCTTTGAGTTTTGAGGAGGGAGCTTGCCTATTGCTTGTGGGGGGCCACAGTGGGGTCATGCCAGCTGCCCGAGCACACACCCCTTCTAGGCTTCTGGGTGGCAGTATGGCTTGTGCTCCTCGGGTCCTTACACACCTTCACACACTCCTAGGCACGCACACAGGCGGGATGCCACCTCCTGCCTGTGTCCAGCAGGACTCCTTCCCTGGCTAATACTGAACCCCTCCTGGGCCTCCAGTGCCCAGGCCCACCAGAGTCAGGGAGGCAGGGCCCAGGGGTCCCCATGGAGTCCCATGCCAGGCACCGTCCCTCAGCCGAACCGCTCACGCACCAACAGCATGAGCTTCTTCTTGCCTTTGTAGGTCTGTTTGAGGTTCTCCAAGAATTGGGCGAACTGAAGGTGTCCATCGGGCGCCAGCAGAAAGGTCTCCCGGGCCTTGCCCAGGAACTCAATGAAGTCGCCGTAATGCCGCGGGCTGATGTGCGTGAGGCGCGAGTGGCTGGTGGTGATGTAGGCGGCCACAGCTGCGTCCAGGAGCTGGCACAGTGGCGCCCGGTCGGCGCCCAGGGGCTTGGCAGCCCGGCGGGCCCCGAGGGGACCCAGGCCAGGCGCCGAGAGGGTCCAGCGGCGCAGGATGTCGGAGAGCATCGGGGCGCAGTGAATGCTGCGGATGATGAGGGGGACGATGGCGGAGAGCTCGTGGCGGCCGAGCGAGTGGCTGAGCGAGCAGGCCCACAGCACGTCGTTGACGGCGGGGTGGCTGTCCTGGTTGAAGGCGATGCTGAGCTGCGCCAGGGCCAGCGTCGCCAGCTTGTAGGCGCGCAGAGGCAGGCCACGGTGCTCCATGTAGCGGGCCACTGTGAAGAGGTGCGCGTGGCCCAGACCGCCGGCCGCCGCGTCCAACACGATCTGGTAGGCCGCCTCGAAGGCCGCGTGGTTCTTCTCGCACAGGGTGAGGGCGGGCAGCGCGCAGTTCTGCGGGTCCTTCATGGCGCACTGCAGGGCCAGGGTGCGCGCGCAGGCCCAGAGCTCCTCCCGCCGGGCTGTGTCCAGCTGCAGCCGCATGAGGGTGGCGTGCGTGGTGCCGGTCACCGCCACGATGGTGGCCGCCTCCACCGGGGTAAATAAGGAGTACCAGTTTTGCATGATGTTCATCAGCGCCTGAGGGCCTGGGGGGAGGTCAGGAGGAAAGAGCTCGGGCTGAAGGGGTGCCCAGGGCACGGCCATCACCCCAACCTGCAGCAGCCACAGCCGCAGAGGGACCGCACCACTTCTTTACCACAGGGGACAGAAACTGTTTACCTTCCCCAGGGAGCAGGCGCAGCTGGACTGAAGGCAAGCCGCATGTGTGGGGGCCTGGGATAGGGACCGCCCTTGGTCCCCCTCCGTCCCCAGAGCCCACGTTCCCTCCCAGCCTGGCCCAGGCTGGAATCTGGGAAAAACCCGCCTTTCTCTCATGTCCCCCAGTTCAGTGACACTTCTGGAACCAGAAAAGGGAGGTGAGGTGCGTCCCCTGGGGCGCTCACCAATCTCTGTGGCGCAGCTGACCAGCCAGCGAACCATCTCCCTCCGCCGCCAGGTCATGGTGTTCAGAGTCATGCGCATCACCTGCAGGGTGGAAAGGGGACAGAGGCGGCTCCTCAGCGTCTCAGACTGGCCTGTGGAGGAGGCGCCCGAGGGCCCAAGGAGGCCTGGAGGTTAAGAGCTGATCCAAAACACCAGGGCCAATAGCCGCACTCCTCGGTCTCAGTCTCCTCACTGATAAAATGGGGACAGAAATTGAATCTTGGGACTGCGGGTGTAGTTCACTGGTAGAAAGCTTGGCTAGCACGAGAGAACTCGGGATTTCATCCCCAGCACAGAGAGAGAGAGAGAGAGAGAGAGAGAGAGAGAGAGAGAGAAAGAGAAGAGAGAAGAGAGACACGGGGCAGGAGGAGGGGGCCGCAGGCATCAACCTCAGCTGTGGTGGGCAACGCTTCCTGCAGTGCCTCGCCCCCTCCAGGTTCCTGGGGCCACAGCCTCTTAAGTGACTCCTCATCTACAGGCTGGCTTCCGACTTGCAGGACCACTCCTTGCCCCACCTTTGGGGACTACGCACTCAGCTACAGGCCCTGCTTGCAGAATGCCACCCAGAGGGGCTGCCCCTCACCTTCTGGTCCTTCCTCCATGGCCCAACCCTTAGTACTGCAGCCCTCCTAGAGCCCCGCCTTCTCCTCCAGGCCCCACCCCCAAGGAAGCTCCCTATTGGCAGGCTCTGTCCCCCCTCCTACTTCAGCCCCACCTTCCAATGGTCCTCAGCCAGCAGCACACCAGCCCACCTCCCGCTGGGAATGGGACCCAGGGCCACCCGTTCCAGGCAGGTTGTGCACCCCGAGCCACACCCTAGGTGCTCTGCTCCCTCTCGAGGCCCATGTACAGCTGGCCGGCCCGGGCTCTCCCCTGAGGTGACCCCCCACCTTGAGTCCTTTAGAAGGTGGAGCGTCATCCAGTTTCACCCCTGAGGACGCCCTCGGTTACCCCAGACCTTCACTTCACAGGTGCGTCTGCGGCTCGGCCCACAGGGACAGGATCACGCTCAGACTTCGCCCCCAAAGGAGCAGCTCCTATTCAGGCCTCGTCCCCGGAGGCCCCACTCCTGGCGGTGCCCCCAGTCCCCATCCACTCAGTGACCCTCACCTGCAGGCCCAGTTCCAGCGCGATGCCGAGCAGCGTGCTGTCCGGTGGCGCGCCGGCCGGGGTGGCCGTCTTACAGGCGTCCTGCGCCAGCTTGAAGAGCAGAGCGGGCGAGTGAATGTTCTGCTGGATGGAGCCCAGGACAACGTGCAGCCACTTGGGGTCTCCTGGGCAGAGGGAGCCACGGGGGCACTGTTAGACCCACCCACCAGCGGCGCGCAGCTGAGCGACCTGTTCCAGGGTCCTCTGCCTGGGGACTAGCGGCACAAAGAGGGGGACCAGGCAAGGCACCTGTGAAGACTCCCAGCCCTGGCGGCCCCACGCCACCTGCCAGGTACGCAGTGTCCTTTGGGTCCTTCTCCCCTAGCAGGAGGAAGCCATGTCGGCAAGGGGTCGATTCTGGACCCAGAATGTCAGGAATCAAAGTCTGTCCTGTCACTCCTGTTGCTCCTGGGCGTGTGACCCTGAGCACTGGCTGTCCCTCTGCGTGGAATGCTCTTCAAGATGCCATGGACTGGACTGTGTCCCCCTCGCCCCCTGGCCTCCCAGCTCACATGCTGAACAGCCCACCGCTATGGTTTGGAGGTGGGGACTGTGGAGGGTTAAGCCAGGTCTGAGGTGGGGCCCTCAGAGGGGATCAGGGCCCTTATAAGAAGAGACACCAAAGAACTCTCCCTCCCTCTCCCAGCCTCCGCCGCGTGGAGACTGAAGAAGGTGGCCATGTGCACGCCAAGAAGGGAGCTGTCACCCAGAAGCTCCTCGCAGGCACCTTGACCTTGAAACACAGTATCCAGAACTCTGAAACATGGAGCCCAGTGCTTTATCACTGAGCCACATCCTCAGCCCGTTTTTAAAATATTTTGAGACAAGGTCTTGCTCCGTGGCCCAGGCTGGCCTCAAACTTGGGTCCTCTGACCTCAGCCTCCTGTGTCACTGGGGTTACAGGCGTGTGCCATGGCACTGACAGCCGATGGTGTTTGGTTGTGGCCGTCCGAGCTGACCAAGACCAGATATCTGCAAAGCTCTGCCCTCCCCTGCAGATCTTTGCTTAAGCATCCACCTGCTGGGGCTGGGGACCCCGCTCTGTGGTCAAGCCCGGGACAGGCCTGTGTGAGGCTCTGGGTTCCAACCCAGCGCTGCCAAAGAACAAGTCAAACACTGCCCCTGCTTGGCCGCCCACACCGAGATCCTTCTCTTACTTCCTGCGTGGCAGATCTTTTCCTTACTGTCCGCCTGCCCCGTGGGTCAGGGGGCTGGGGACAGTTTGCCTGGTCCACAGAGAAGGCGCTCAAGGAATATCGGGGCAATTTGGCAAAAGGATCAAAGGAAGGGGGAGAGGCCAGAGTGACGGTGGAGAGGATGATGGACAGAGGTGGTCGCCGTCCTCACCCTTGGCTGCGGTCAGCATGGCGGAGGCCAGTTCACACTGGCGGGTCTCCAGGTGGCCCAGGATGAACCAGCGGGGGAAGCGGTTGCTCGGGATGGAGTCCAGCGGGGTGGGATGGGGTTCTCCAACTGGAAGCGCCGTCTCCAGCACGGGCAGCCTGGGGGAAGCAAGCCTGGTGAGGGGCGGGTGGCCCTGCCGACTCCGTGGGTGGGCTGCCCAGCACAGCCACCCCGCACACCCAGGAAGACAGAGGACACGTGTGAGGTGCTCACTGTGGCAATGTTGGCCTACACAATGGAATATTATTCAGTCATAAAAAGGATTAAAGGGGCTGGGGTGTGGCTCAGCTGTAGAGCACTCGCCTAGCACGTGCAAGGCGCTGGGTTCGAACCTCAAAAATAAATAAATAAAATAAAGGTATTGTGTCCAACTACAAGTAAGAAAAAAAAATTAATAAAAAAATTAAAGTCCAGGGCTGGGGTTGTGGCTCAGCGGCAGAGTGCTCACCTAGCACTGGCGAGGCCCTGTGTTAGATCCTCGGCACCACATAAAAATAAACAAAATCAAGGTATTGTGTCCAACTACAACTAAAAAATAAAATATAAAAAAAAAATTAAAATCCTGCCACTTGCAGCCACCTGGATGGAACTGGGGGATGTTTTAAGTGAAACAAGCCTGTAGGACAGTTCTGCCTGTTGTCACTCATGTGAAATCCAAAAATGTTCATCTCATAGAAGAAGAGAGGAGAGTAGTGGTCACCAGAAGACTGGGAAGGGCGGGAGGACAGGAACGGAGGGAGGTGGACGATGGGTACCAGACACGGCTAGATGGGAGGAAGGGGTTCCCGTGTCCTATGTTACAGCACAGGAGGATGATGATAGGCTACAGCAATTTATGATGTATTTCAAAATATCTAAAGAGTCCAAGGTTCCCTACACATAGAAAGGGAAAGGTTTGACATGGAAGTGCGAATTACTCTGATTTGGCCGTTGCACGTTATATGCGTGTATCAGATTATCCCCCTCCTCCAGAAACACAAATAAAACCGACAATAAAAAATAATAAATTGAGCCAGGCACCACGGCACATGTCTCTAACCCAGCAACTCTGGAGGTTGAGGCAGAAAGAGCTCAAGTTTGAGGACAGACTCACAACTAAGTGAGACTCTGTCTCAAATTAACAAATGAAAATAAAAAGGGCCGTGCTACAGCGCCCCCTGGGTTCAGCCCCTGGTCCTGCAAATAATAATCAATCACCATCACCATCATCATAATTCATTTAAATAAAAAAAGGAGAGAGGGGATAGGAAACTGCCTAGATGTCTATCACTTGCAAGTTAGTTAAATAAAATAATGCTGCATTCATCCCCCAGGCCACATGCTGATATAGAGGGGAGGAGACAGCCAGGCGCAGTGGCGCACACCTGTCATCGGCTCAGGAGGCTGAGGCAGGAGGATCTCAAGTTCAAAGCCAGCCTCAGCAATGGCAAGGCCCTAAGCAACTCAGTGTTGTCTCTAAATAAAATACAAAATAGGGCTGGGGAGGTGGCTCCGTGGCCCAGTGGCCCTGAGTTCAATTTCTGGTACCAAAAAAAACGGGGGGAGGAAAGTGCTCTCCTGACACGGCTTCCCGTCACTCCCCGCGGCCTCTTTCCCTTCGCTGCCTCCACTCTAGTCGCCCTCAAACCCACCAGGTATAGTCCCACCTCAGGGCCTTGGCACTGGCTGTCCCCTCTGCCTGGTGGCCCCTCCCTCGCCTCCTCCAGACCTTTGCTCAAACATTGCTCAGTGGGCGCTTCCCCGACACCCCCACCAAGGAACCGTGAGGCACTCTGCCGCCTTGTGTTCCGCCCATTCAGTGACCTCACTGCACTGAGCGGCGGACAAGAGTGTTCACCTAGTCATTTATTTACTGCCACTCACCAGAATGTCCCCTCCCCAGGGCAGGGATGTGCCTTTGTTTACTGTTCTATGTACCAGAGCAACGCTGGCCACAGAAGGGGAACCTGCTTGTTGGATGATTCAAGGTGGCCACAAAGTGCCCTGTTAAGAGGCGCACTGTGCGGTCACTCTGACTCCGTGGGAGACTGATTCTGGGACCCCCGTGGACTCCAGCCTGTGGCTGCTCAGATTTACGTGGTGCAGCCTTTGAAGACTCTAGGCCCATCCTCCTGTGTCTTCATTTCTAGATTTAGGACACCTGCGGCAACGTGCATGCCACGTACATGGCTGTCACACTGCACTGCTTATGGGATCACAGAAGACAAAAAGTCTGTACGCGGTCAGTACAGGCACAGCTTTCTTTCAAATATTTTTGATCTGCGTTTGATCAAATTCATGGATAAGGAGAGGACTCTAAAGTCTTGTGTTTTGTTTTGCTTCTGGCACTGGGGACAGAACCTAAGGGCATTTTACTATTAAGCAGAACTACCTCCCCAGCCCTTTTTTTAAATTTGAGACAAAGCCTTACTAAGTTTCTGAGGCTGGCCTCTAATTTACCATCCTCCTGCTTCAGCCTCCCGAGTTGCTGGGATTACAGGTGTGTAAGCCCAACTTGTGCGTGTAATTTTCTGTTATGAAAGTTATTCAGAGTTGCTAGATGTAATTATCAGCAGTGAAAACTATTCCGGTTCCAAATATTACATAAATAACCTTGCTGTGTGACCTTGGTAGTGGAAGACACCTTAAGTCTTTTCGGGTATGTAAATGGGGGTAAATTTAAGCTCACTTAGCTAGGTTGCTATATGGACTTAGGCCAAGGATCAGCCAAAGGCTGCACAGCCCATATTTTTGGCTTTGCAAGCTGTTTGGTCCCTGTTGCAAACACATGCTCTGCTCTGCCTCCTGCAAAAGTAGTCACCAACGAAACGGCGGAGTAGATTAGTGCGTGTGGCTAGGTGCCAAGAAAACTTCATTTTGGGGCACGGAAATTTGAATTTCATATATTTTTCAATCATTTAAAAATAAAAACTACTTTTTTTTTTGGTAGTGCTGAGGATGGAACCCAGGGCCTGGCACATGCTACGAAAGCAGAGTTGTGCCCCAGGTACCCAAAATGGAAACATCGTGGGCTGCACAGAAATAGGTGGCAGATCAAATTAAGTTTGTGGACTACAGCTCCCTGACGCAGCCTTGAAAAGTCCCGCAAATAATAGCGCATTTTTCAGTGTTGGGGACCAACAGTCCGGTGCAGCATTTGCCTAGCACGCAGGGGGTCCTGGGTCCCATCCCCAGGACCGCAATCAATCAACCAAATAAAGTAAAAGAAAAATCAAAAAGGCTGTTCGTGAACTCATGATGCTTACATGTTATTCTTTCCAAATGTCCTGGAAAGACCCCCCCTCCAAATTGTTCATCACGTGGAGAGAGATTGAGATTCAGGTGGACCACGACAAACCCGCCTCAAAAAGGACTCCACTCTGTGCACTTTTTGAATCCAGTACCACGTGGACATTCCCGTCCCCCTCCTGCTCCCACACCAAACCCAGGCAGTGTCCCCTGCTACCTGTCCTCACCTCATGGCTCGCAGTGCCAGGCGATAGGCCAGGTCGGGGTCATGGGGCAGCAGCGCAGTGAACAGGTAGCGGGCACAGGTGTGCATTGGCACGCTTTCCCGGAAAAGTACTTCTCCAAAGCCACTGAAGGGACCTCCTAGAGGGACAGTCTGAGTTCAGCCCCTCGGTGTGGGCTCTCCTCCACCCCCATCCCACGTCTCCCCAGGTTCCAGGATGGATATGGAAGATAGGCTGGGTCTGAGAGGTCTCAGGGGCAGGCACTCGGCATCGAGACTGAGCCAACCTCCGGAAATCTAAAGAAAAAAGGAGTCCCTAGGCACCCTTGGGTGAGGCCAGACTCCCATGCAGGATGGGTCAGAGGAGATGAAGGAGCAGCTGTCCCAGGGGCAGAGCTACCAGCAAGGTTCAGCAGCACAGAGGCCCTGGAGGGGGCGGGGCCAGCTTGGTGTGGGCAGAGACACAGCGAACAGGCCAATAGGACCAGACCATGGGCGGAGCCAGAGGAGCGGGCTCTCCCTTTCAGGACCCGCGAGGTCTGAGGGACATGGAGGGCGGGGGCGGGGCAAGGTCAGGGGGCGGGGCCTGGGCAGGGGCGGGGCCTCACCTTCCAGCAGCAGCCCCGCCTGCTTGCGCAGCACCTGCACCAGCCGCTCGTCCAGATCCACCTCCTCCAGCAGCGCCAGCAGCTGCTCCTCGTTGCGCACCACCTTGTCCTGGGCGTACAACCCCTCGGGCAGGGCCCGCTGCTGTCCCAGCCCCAGCAGTGCCACCTCTAGTGCCAGCGCCAGGTAGGACTCCCCAGGGCTCCCGGGCACTGGTACGTGCTGGTAGGCCACCTTCCGCTTCTCGGGTCCTGAGTCTGAGGAAGAGGGGACAGGAGGACCATGGACCCCCTTTCTTGGGATCTCTGGGCCCAAGCACCGCGATAGGGGTGGGTGCAGCAGGGGGCAGCGCAATCTCCCAGCACTCGCCACAGGGCCCCTTCTGGTGGTCGCTAGGTCTATGGGTGGCCTCACTGGGCCCATCTGCTTCCAGAGCGCCAGGAGGCATGGCCAATAGCAGGGGCGTGGCTAACAGCAAGAGTGTGTCCCAGGTCCTCCAGGGCTTCCCCCGTGGGTACCTGGGTAAAGGGAGAGGGTCTCCTCCTCCAGGCGACAGGCCTCCAGGAGCGCCCTGCAGAGGCAGCCAATGGGGTCCAGGGGGTGGCCCACCCAGCCTTCGGGGTTGGTGATGCAGGTGGCGCCTTTCTGGAGCAACTCTGCAGGCAGAAAGAGGGGGCTTGATCCCACCCCTCCGCGAGGGCCTCTTGGGTGGTTCCTTTTCCTGACTCCAGAGTCTCACCACTTGCCCACCCAGAGGCCAGCTCTGTCCTGGGGCTCTGCCGTGGCCACCCAGCAGGGTACAGGGACAACACTGGGCACTTTCCAAAATAGCTTCTTCTGCACCTTTCTAATGTTCAAAAGCCCAAATAGGTTTTGGGACCCCGGGGGCCACTTGACGCTTCTCTTTTCTCTAGGGTGCGGTGCCCACGGACCTCCTGGCCTGGCTCTCTTCCGCCTGGCTCCTGCCCGTGGGTTGCTCCTCGCAGCACCTCCTCCCTCCCCTTCTCTCAGCTTTTCTGGAAGGGTCCCGGGCCATCCCTGAGCCCTCAAACTGGGTCAGGGCTCTTCTCAAGCCCAGAGCACCCTGAAGATCCTTCATTACACTTTGTTCAATTTCCTGGTAACTAAGTGACCCGTTCCCTGCCCAAGAACTCAATGGATGGCTTCTCCTGTCCTCCATATCCAGTCCCCAAACGTTTTTTCTTTTTTTCCCAGTCCTGGGACTGAGTCCAGGCCCTGCAGCACCCCAGGCAAGAGCTCACCACTGAGCCTCCTCCCCCGCCCCTTGTCGACAGTTTATCTGGAGACAGGGTCTCGCTGAGTGGCTCAGCGCCTTGCTAAGTTGCTGAGGCTGACTTTGAACTGGCGATCCTCCTGCCTCAGCCTCCCCAAGCTGCTGGGATGACAGGCCTGCCCCACCGCCCCAGGGACGTGAGGAGAGTATTCGCCCCCACCTTTTTTCTGCTGCTTGTAGCTCTCAAGCTGATGCCGCCGCTGGAGCCGCAGCGTGTTGATTATGGCACCGGCCAGCCGCAGGGCCTGGCGGGGATACCCATGGGCACGCAGGGTGTCCACTCGGGCGCAAGCAGTTGGAAAGGGCTCGCCCAGCCAGAGTGGGCGGCCCTGAGGGTCGAAGGCGGACTTGTCACTGCCCATGGTGCCTGTGAGGCTGGGGCTGTAGGAGTCACCGGCCAGGATCCGCTGCAGGTGAGAGTCTTCCCAGTGCAGGTCTCCAGCCTGCAGGGCTCGGCCAAATACCGTGTGGCGGGAACCTGTGGCCGCCACCTCCCCCTCTTCCTGTTCCTCAGAGCCTGTGGGAGAGGGACCCAGTGTGGTCCAGTGAGGGGGGCCCTAGCCACGCTCACCTTCCCCCACCAGGTGCCACCATGGGGTCAGACCCTGGGCAGAGGATGGGCACGGGCTTGCTCCCAGTCCTCAAAGCACCTTCGAAGGTGCGTGGGGTTGCTGGTGGCGGTCACAGCAGAACAGCAGTTCAGTGACCGTCTCTCTCCCGGCTTACCCTTTCTCCTCTCCTCTCCCCCGGCCTCTCTCTCCACCTCCTGTCTGCCTCTTTCCTCCTCTCTCTCCATTCTTTTCTGTTTTCTTCCTTCCTCCCCCTTCTCAATATCTCACCTCCCCCTTGTGTTTGCAGACACCTGTTTTCTTCCCTCTGGACTGTCTCCACAGATAACAGGAGGTGGAGCTAGGAGACCAGCTCAGGGTGACGCACTGTATTTAACTGTCCCGCAGGCTGCCTCTGCACCTGCCCTCACCACCTCCTCCCTCCTGGTTGAGAGGACAGCCAACGGCTGGGGCTCCCTTCTCTCCCCGACTCCCTCTCTCCCCTCAGACAGAGTTGCACGATACAAAGTCGGGACATGGCCAGCGGTGATGGGTTTGTGGGGGACAGCAGGCTGGAACCCTCTCCTACCTGGGCTGGGAGCCATGGTGGGCTGCAGGCTGGGGCCATCGAAGGAGTAGTTGCCCTCTTCCAGTGGGCACACGTCCAGCTTGTCCCATGTGCCAAGCAGCTGGAGCCAGCCCGCCCGCTCCTCTGGTTTGCAGTGGGGGCTCAGGATGACACAGACCCAGAGGGCCCCTGAGGAGGCACAGAGGAGGCCACATTCCCACCAGACACGACAGAGCGTCCCCTGAGTCCTGGGCAGTTCTGCTCACTCCTAATCTGGACCCTCTGAGGTGGCGGCTCATAGACTTCTCACTTAATGGGTAAGAAAAATCAGGCCCAGGGAGGAAGCACACTCATCCAAGGTCATTTAAGTTAGAAATCGGGATTCGAATCCAGGTCGCCAGACTTCCCTCAATGTTTCTGTTTTCCTTTTTATCTCTCGCATGTTTTCCCCACCTAATACGGGGGTCAGCCAACAGCGCAGGACAGCACATGCAGAGAACGGAACCCACAATCTGGTTTCTCGGAGCAGCCGACGGGCTGAGACTTATTTTTACATTTTTAATTGGTGGGGGAAAAAAATAACAAAAACAAAAGAAGGGTATTTTATGAGTTGTGAAGTTCAAATAAATATATAAAGTGTCCATTAAAAAAAGCTTTATTGGAACACTACCACCTCCACTTAGTGGCCCACGTCTGTGGCTGCTCTTCTGCTACAATGTGCAGAATTCAGTTGTCGAGCTGCAGACCAAATGGCCGGAGAAGCTGAAAACACTGGGGCTATCTGACTTTGACACACGTTGACCCCTGGCCTCCTAGGCTGACCATCTGCCCTCCAAATCCAGCGGTCACCTATCTGGATTCAACCAACCTTGGGTTGAAAATATTTTGGGGAAAAAAATTATATTTGTACTGAACACGTGCAGACTTTCCCCCCTTCACATTAGTCCTTAGACAACACAACCCTCCTTTCGTCGCGGTTCCTCTGTGTTGGGTGTTATAAGTGATCTCCTGGTGACTTAAAGAACACAGAAAGGCTGGGGCACAGCTCAGGCAGGACATGTGCTGAACACGCACATGAACCTTGTGCATTTTAAGCACATGTCCTGGGTTTCATCCCCAGCACCAAATAAATAAGTGAATACATGAAGGATGTGAGTAGGTTCTGCACATAGTAGGCCACTTTTACTTTTGTGGTGCTGGGATGGGACCCAGGGCTCTGCACGTTAGGCAACGTTCCCCCGCTGCGCGACACCCCAGCCCCTTTTCCTTTTTTATATGAGGGACTTACTCACACACAGATTTTTGTGTCCCTGGGGATCCTGGAACCCATCCCCCTTGGATACTGAGGGACAAGGGTATGGTATTTCATTGTCCCTCTCCTGTCAGCCCCCGGGAGCAGGACCCGTCTGTCTGTTCTCTGCTGTGGCACCAGCACCCTGTACAGCACCCGTATGTTGGAGGTGCTCAATAAATGGAGGAGGATCCAGGGACATGCTCCTATCGGGGGAGCAAGACCTGGGCAGGGAGCCTTACCCAGCTCGTCCCACAGCTGCCGGCACTTGTCCGTCATGCCCGCGCCCTGCTGCCGCCACAGGGCCAGGCGGGGGTCTTGCAGGAACTGCTCCGTCATGAGGATGAGCATGCGCGCCCCGTTGGAGTCCCGCATCCGCAGCATCTCCCGCACCTGCACGGGGACAGGGCAGTGAGCAGGGTGTGGGGTGCCAGGGCTGGGCCTCTGAGCCCCCGTGCCCCGTGCCCATGCGGCACCTTGCTGAACATGGAGCGCAGCTGCTGGCTGGCCCCGTAGTAGCCGCCGTTGGACAGCAGCTGCTTCACCTGCTCCTGGATCTGCTCCTCATCCAGGTGCCAGCAGTTGGCGTCCTCGATGCCTGCACCTGCTGTGGGGTCGGGGGCACCTGCAGGAAGGCAGGGGTGGGTGAAGGGAAGCCCAGGCTGGGGTGGGAGAGAGGGTGTCTGTCCGCCTTCCCCATCGAGTCCTCTAAGTCACCCCATCTATCCCAAAGTTCCATCTCTCCTAGAGTAAGCACCACCCACCCTCCTGTCTGTCCATCCCTCCCACCCACCCATCCACCTACCAATCCATCTGTCTGTCCATCTACCCATACACCCACCAGTTCCTTTATCCATCCACCTTGCCTCGAATACCATCCACTTACTCACCCACCCATCCATCTATCCATCCACCCATCTACCTACCCATCCACCTATCCATCTATCCATCCATCCCTCCACCCCTCCACCCACCCACCCACCCATCTACCCATCTACCCATCCACCCATCCATTCATCCATCCACTCATCCACCCACCCATCCATTCACCCATTCACCCATCCACCCATCCATCCACCCACCCATTCACCCATCCACCCATCCCACCAGATACACACATCTGCCAAGCCACATTATGCCTGTCTTTATCCATCTTACCATGGCCCCCATCAGCCCACATATCTGACCCCTTGTACATGACCACGAGGCCACCCAACCCATAATTCCCACGGCCCTTCCACCTACATACCCATCCCATCACTCCACCTGCTGACTGCCCCAGGTTTTCAACCCACCTGCATCTACCACTCGGGATCCCCACCCTCCCACTCACCATCAACCCCCACACCTGCTAACCCCCATCCAACTAGTCCCTGCCCCCGCCATCTTCCTGTGTCCACCAGCCGCTCACAGTCCCTCTCAAAACACCCTCCACCTGTCCATCCATCCCACACAAACCCACCCTCCACGGCTACCACACATCTGTCCACACTGCAGACCCTCCCCGCACCCACGACGCACCCCAAGCGGGGCCTCCGCTCTCCGCCAACCCCACTGTCCACTGCCAGAGCCTCCCACCCATTTCCTCACCACCAGCGCCTACTCACCCGCCATCGTCCTTCACCACCCATGCACTCACCCCACTTATTCTCCCACACCACAGTTCACCCCCTGATCCCAGCTTTCTGCACCCACCAGCCCCTCCCAGAGTCCCCCTCCGATGCCCCGCCCACTGCTCATTCAGCTGCCCTCTTCCCGCCACCCCACCGTGGCAAGCCCTTGCGGTCCCCTCGGTGTGTATCCCCCAGGCCCCTCCCACGACCCCCACCCTCACGCCCTCCACCCACCCACACAGGCCTGCGCCCGGGATTCTGAGCCGTCTCCACCCTGGGCAGGACCTTGCACGCGGGCTCTTCCCTCTGGCCCCCGCCCTCTGCCCATGTCCTGGTTCCTGACCACTCATCTGCCCCAGGGCCAAAGTATAACCAGGACGTGCCACTCACTGGGGACGTGCCCTGGGTCTGCGCAGGCAAAGCCTTGTGCCCCCCCACGGCAGGCACCGAGGCGCCTGGTACTGAGCGACCCCCATGGCCGTGGGCTGAGCGGCCGCCCTCGCGCATGCGCCCTCACCGTGCACCAGGTTGATCTCGGAGCCCAGCAGCAGGATTTCGTCCGCCAGGCGCTGGGCGGTGGGCAGCACTTCGGTGTGGTGGGCGCTGATGAGGTACTGCACGAACTTCTGCAGCTGGTCCCGGTTCATCTGGGACAGCGTCTCGGAGATGGGCAGCCGCAGCTCCACCTGGCGCGCGTGCCGGATGCGGTACAGGGACAGGGCCACCACGTGGGCGCAGTAGAAGAGGTCTCGGTTGTCACAGCCGCAGCTCACAGACGTGATCTTGCAGCGGTCGAAGCTGATGGAGACGTGGTAGAGGTGCTCCGGCTCCCCGGGGGCCGCGGGCTCTCTGACGTTCCCGCTCAGGTGGAATCCTACAAGCAGAGGCCACCGCCTGGTGTCTGGTGTGTCAACCCAGATCCCGGTGGCCCTGTCCCCCTGCACAGCCCAGCCGAGCCCTGCCTGTGCCTCGGTTCCCGACTGTCCACCTGGAATGCCAACGACGTCCCTGGAGTTACAGAAAAATTGAGTGACCTAATATGCGACAAACGTTCAGGACACTGGTGTAAAGCTCAGTCCTGGGCAACCCTCCTTCTCCTTCCAATGACAGTGTACCACAGTCCCCAAGTTCAAGATGGTCTGTCAGTCCTAGGGTTACCATGGATACCCCCGGGACTTTCGGACTTCCTGGGAAGATGCTAAAGGCTGGTGACACTTGAGAGTGAGGGGTTGATGTGGCAGGCCAGGGGCCACATCACCCTGGTACCCCCTGCCCCTCCCTGGCCCCTGGGCAGCCCAGATGTCTCCCAGGCTCATCCGACTGGTTGGGCAGCCCGGGCCCAGCCTGCGTCACCCAGAGACATGGCTTCCTCATACCAGAGGAGGCCAGCAGCCTGTGGACAGCTGGGCACTGTCCAGGCAAGGGGGGCTCGATGGCTGACTGGGTCCCTGCCATGGCCTGCCACCCAGGAGGCTAGAGTTTCCTGGCACAGCTGTGCTGGTCCCCTTGCAGGCCCTGCCGCCTGAGGTCTGAGGCCTTTCCTCCCCATCTCCCCCAGCTCCAGCTCTGCAGTCCCCTCCTCTCCTTCTAGTTCATAACCTCCCCCCAACCCTCACCTGGGCCCCGCCGCCTGAGGTCTAGGTCAGCTTCCTCCTCCAGCTCTGGACTCGGGCCTCCGACCTCACCTGGGCCCCGCCGCCTGAGGTCCAAGAGTGCCTCTCATATCTGACCCTGAACTTCTACCCTCCATTCCTACCTCGGCTCCACTGCCTTAGGTCTGAGACCATCTCTCCACGATGGCCCTAAACCCTTCTTTTTTAAATCCGGTTTTAATCATTTCTTTAATTGGCACAGAACAATCCCACACATTTATGGGGTGTGGGTGATAACTCCGCACCACACACGGCGTGTGATGATCCAGTCAGGAGAATCGGCCTTTCCTGCTCCTCTAACACTGACTGTTTCTGTGCTTGAAAGCTTCCCATTCCTCCTTCTGGTTCTTTATATAATACAGAGCACATTTTTGTGACCTGAAGTAACTGCTGCAGTGCAGAGGGCTCTTGACCTTGACCCCAGCCTCTGCCTGAGTCTCTGCCTGAGCTCTGACCAGCTCTCACCTGGCTCTGCATGTCTGGGTCCACCTGTCACATGGCCCCAGGTCTGGGATCGCTCCTACCTGTGCCTCTGAACTCTCCATCGAATCGCCGGGTCCCTCTGTCTGCAGTCTAGAAACTTCTCTTACCCATGGTTTGATGGCTCCTCTGATCCCACGTCTTCCCTTGGTCCCCAATTCAGCCGCCCGAGGTCTGCCTTCCACCTGGAGCTCACAACCTGCGCCCCAGCCCAGCTGGGCCTGAGGCCCGAGGTCTAAGACCATCTCAACCCGCTGTGCTGGGCCCCTTGCAGGCCCCGCCAGGGACCTCTGCGGGGATGTGGGGTGACTGTTGTCTCTGCGCTCAGCCCTTGCTTGGGCCTCCCTGCCCCCACTTCCTGCTGCCCAAGGTCTAGGACCATATCTGAGGTGACAGTCTCTCTGTGGACCTTACCTGGGCCTCCAAGCCCGAGGTCTGGAACCTTCCACCACAGCCCCCCTGCACCCCCGCCTGCACTGGACCTCCCTGGAGGGCTGGGGACAGACACTCACCTACTTGCAGCACCCGGTCGACAGCCCCGCTCTGCAGCAGGTGCAGCCCGCGGGTGAAGGGCACCCGGGCGTCCTGCTCGCCCTCCGGGGGCTGGTAGCCCAGCGAGGAGTACATGCATATTTCCCGCTCGCTGCGTGGAAACGACCAGAAGACGATGCGCTTCTGGACCGGCTCCGGTACCCGGGAGAAGCGCTCCTCCACCTGCAGGGAGGGCTGGTGGGTTAGAAGCTGGGACCCCCCCTGGACCACCCTCTGCTGTGTACAAGAGGCACACGGCCTGAACCTCGGCGTCCCCAGTATAAAGTGGGATGTGAATAGCAACCATCTCCTGAAATCTATATGCTCAAGTGAGCCAGGTTGCCTGGTGTCACAGCGACTCAGGAAGCTGAAGAGCGAGGACTGCTTGAGCTCAGGGGTTCAGGAACAGCCTGAGCATCAGAGAGACCCCATTTCTCTTTCTCTCTCTCTCTCTCTCTCTCTTTTTTTTTTTTTTTTTTTGGTGGTGCTGGAGATTAGAACCCAGGGCCTTGTGCACATCAGGCAAGCACTCTACTAACTGAACTACATCTCCAGCCTGAGACCCCATATCTTTAAAATAAAGAACAAAAACAAAAAACTGAGCTTCACAGCAGGAAGCAATCCTGGTGACTCAGGAGGCTGAGGCAGGAGGATCTCCAAGTTTGAGGCCAGCCTCAGCAACTCAGTCAGACCCTGTCTCAAAATAAAAAAATAAAAAAGGCTGGGAGCCAGGCACAGTGGCGCACGCCTGTAATCTCAGCAACTCTGGAGGCTGAGGCAGGAGGATCACAAGTTCAAAGACAGTCTCAGTAACTTAATGAGGCCCTAAGCAACTTAGCGCTACCTTGTCTCAAAATAAAAAAAATAAAAAGGGCTGGGGAGCATGCATGAGGCCCTAGGTTTGACCCCAGGCACCACAAAAAAAATAAATAAATAAGGCTGGGAATGTGGCTCAGGGGTAAATCACCTCTGGGTTTCACCCCAGTACAAACAAAAATGAGACAGAAAAAACCACAACCACCACAACAAAACCCAGCACTGATAGATGTAAAGCACTTAAAATGATGCCTGGTCCATCCTTAGCATTCCAGAAGTTTCTACAGATTCCCTCCAGGATTCCAGGTCCCTGGGTTCTGGCATAAGATTCTCCCACTTCCCAGGCACTAGGGGGTCAGAAGGAAGTGACATAAAAGCGATAAGAATGACGATCAAGGGTGACTTTCTCAGTGTGCACTGTGTGGAATGTCCTGGGGACTGACTTCCCTAACCTCACAACCACCTGGCCCACACTGAGCCTTGACCTCGTCTTACAGCCAGGGGAAGCTGAGGCTCAGGCGCACAGCGACTTCGTTTGTTCAGGGTCCCCAAGCTGGCTCCATTCCTCAGTTTCCTCTTTGAGCCCCTCCCCTGGGAAGGGCCCCCAGGAATCAAGGTGTGCCCAGGCCACCCCTGTGGACTCCAGGCAATGAAACCAGCTGGTTGAGCCTGCCCTCCAATCTGGGTTTGCTATTCACAGGCTGGGTGACCTTGGGCTAGTTTCCCAACCTCTCTGTGCCCCAGTTCCTTCAAAGTGAGAATGACAATCCTTAAAGGGTGAAAGAACTTCTCTAGCATCTGGCCTGTCCAGGGCAGGTACACGGGAGCCCTGGATATGGTTTGGGGATTATTCTGTGTATCTCCCACACAATAAAGGGGCCTTAGCCCCTGTCCTATGTAGGTTTCTGGGGGAAGTGGGAGAGCCGGTGACTGGCCCAGTGACAGTTGGCAGATGACTAAGGAGGGATTTTCCGGTCCGTGAATCAGAGCCTACTCCATGCACAATCGGCCGAAACCATCAGTCCTGACTTGGGAGCAGAGATGCCCCCCAGGGTCAGAGGACAGAGCCTGGGGGCTGCCCTTGCTTAGTGAGGCTCAGACACAGCTCCAGCTCCTTGGGACCCACACCCAGGACAAGAAAGAGGACTCCAAGGAGCCCCCAGAAGCCACAGCTGTGGGGTTCCAGGTGTACCTGTACAGGTACCTCCTAGGCTCTGCCTGGGCTCCTCCTCCCAGAAGCACTGGGATAGCTTGGTGGGGGGGGGAGGTGAGATGTGGGGGAAGGGAAGACCCCCCTGAGTAACCCCTGCTGCCAGGGGCTGGGCAGCCTCCGGAGGGAGGATCTGGAGAGGAGGAGGGCCCCAAAGATGGGTGGGTTCTGTAGACCTGAGGGCTGGGATAGGAGGGCAGAAAGGGGGTGTCCTGAGCTGGGATCTGGAGACCGGGGGAGTCCTCCACCTGGGGATATGGAGGGCAGGAGTGGGGAAATGCGGGCTTCTGGGGACGTAGAGTGTCCCAAAGTGGGAGCTGTTCCTAAGAGTTTGAGAGAGGAGTGCGGTCTTAGTGGGGCGTCCTCACTGGGAGATGAGGGTGCAGTGGGGACACCAGGTACCTGGCGATGCGGGAGGACCCGGGGTCAGGGACAGAGGAGAAGGAAGTGCCCCGCGTGGGAATCTGGGGCGCCGAGGGGTGGGGATGGGGCGAAGGGAAGGAGGGTGGACACAGGGTCTGAAGAACAGCCACGGAGGATGCGGGAGCGATTCGGGCAGGGTGAGGGCTCTAGGGGGTGCAATCTCAGGGGGTCTCAGAGCAGAGGTAGGTCCGGAGTCTCTGGGAGGAGAAGGGGTGAAAAGAAGGGGCGGTGAGGACAGGGCTGGGGGCGCGTCCCTCCCAGCACCCCTCCCCCCTCGGTCACCTGTTCGAAGGCCCAGCTCTCGGCTACTCGCTTGGCGCTGAGGTCCAGTAGCGCCTCGGGTCGGCCCCGGCCGCGCGCTGCCCCGGCCCCGGCATCTCGCTCCTCCGGTCCCGCGGGGGAGCCCCGGCTCCGCTTGGCCGCGGGGGGGTCCATCGGCCGGGCCGGGGCCGGGGCGGGGCCTGCTTGGGGGGGTCTGTCCGGTGCTCACTTCGCTTCGCCGGAGCCCGCGGCCCCTACTCGCTTTCCTGTCCTTCCTCTGCTCTCGGCCGCCCCGGGACCCCCGCTGCACCCACCCCGCCCCGCACCGGGCCAGCCGGGTGATGCGGCCCCTTTAAGACTCTTCACAACAATGAAGCTGCTTCGGCCGCCGCTTTATCCACCGCCGTAGTCCCGCCCCCGGCGCCTGTCCCCATTGGACCCCCCCTCGGCCTCCGCGGTCCTCTCCTATCATTGGCTGCGCTTCCAGACCCGTCTCCAATATTCCACTGTTCATTCGTTGGCTGAGGTGCCTGTTTTCTCGCATCCACCCAATCAGAGAGTAAAGCGAGGGGCGCTGTCAATCACGGGGTGCCGCCGGCCAATCAGATCTGGAGAACCCCTGTGGCGCATGCCTTATGCGGAGTTTCGGGGCGGGCCCTGGGTTCATTCACAACATTCCTCCCCCGCCCCCCTCCGGCTGGACAGTGCGCCCGGGGCAGCTGGGGCTGCGCCCACACACGGCTTTGTTTACTGAGGGTCGCTTCCGGGCGCCGCATGGGGACAATCAACATAAGCCAGCCAGGAGCTAGACAGAGCGGTGGGATCCTGGGCAACAGCTCAGCCTCTCTTCTCTCCGGGCTGTATGACCCCCAGGAAAATCACTCAACCTCTCTGGGCTCCGGGTCGTTTTGATGCTTCGGGAGGAGGGCTGTGGGTCGCAGCCTTCCTTGTAGAGTTTATGTGGGCTGCAGACCCTCTCTCCTGAAACCGGGCTCACTTAGGAGGTCTGTAGACCATTCCTTGAGCTTCAAGCTAGGATACTCCCCAATCCTTTCTACTTCCTAAATAATATGTTGAATCATATGAAATTCCTCATTTTCGATCTGTAAAAGTGGCCATTTCATTCCGTGTAATACATGTCAAATCCCACCACTTCCCAACTCAGCTTGTTCAGGCCACCACCTCTGGCCTGGAAAGCAGCCTTATCTTCTGTGGGTCGTTCCCATCCCCAGCTCATGGTCTCAGAGAACCTTCCTCCCTCTTCTCTCCATTATCGTGGATCTGTCTGTCTATTCCTGAGGCTAATTTCTGTCTCGCTCCTGACTGTGAGCCCCAGGAGGCTGGAGTTCCTCTCTGCAGCACCTGGAATGCATACAGTAGGCACTCAGTCTACAGCTCCTCCAAGAACCAGCAGGAAGACCTCAAGCCCGCCCCTCAGAGGCCTGACTCTCCCCTCCATATGGACACTTCCCTCTGACCAGCCTGGGGTGGCAGTGGCCACCAGAGGTCTCAGAAACTTTAAGGTGGGGCTAGCGCAAAGTGCTCAGTGGTGGAGCACTTGCCCTGGGTTCCAATCCCCCGTCCTGAAAGGGTACACACACACACACACACACACACACACACACACACACATATTAAAATACTGGTTAAAGGTTGAGATGGTGGCTAAACGTCATACATTGTTAGGTCTAGCCCCCTGCTGAGTTTCACGTGGCGTCAGGACATTCAACCTGGCTGCACTGTTTCTACTGGACTTCGCTGTCGGGAGAAGCCAGGGCCTGCGTGGGTCGACCACAGAGGCGGCCACTCGTGCGGTGCTGTCCCTGTTGAGATGGGTGATGGAGTTTGGTTTTCCAAAGGCACTGGCCAGTGGGGAGCGTCACCATCTCCCAGAGGAGGAAACTGAGGCTTGGCGGGCCTGAGGTCACCCAGCAGGAAGGGCGAGCCAGGTGGAAGCCAGGTGGGGCTGTGTGGAGTCGGAGGTTGCAGGAGCCGGGGTGCGGGTGCGGGTGTGCGGGTGTGTGCCTGGCATGGGTGAGCCTCACCCCCGACCTGGGGCCACGTGGGAGGGAGTCAGGAGTGGGAGGCGGGGGACCTGGCAGATCCCCTCCAAACAATCTAGGCCTGGCTTCCAGCACCCACCAGGCTGTGTGACAGCCAGCCCGTCCTTGCCCTCCAGGGGGCACGGTGGTGTCCTGAGGGCACCCTAGGCCAGCGGGTTGGTCCTAAGAGAACAGAGAAGGGTGTCATGGGCTGAGGGTGCTCTGTCCTCTAATCGGGACACCCCGTCTCCCATGCCAGAAGTCGGGGACACAGAAAGACCCACGACTCTGAAACGCAGTCTGTATTCACATCGGCAGCACAGCCCCATGGGGGCCAGCCCATCCCAAAGGCTCACTGCCACCTTTGCTGGACAGGGAAGGGGGCAGGGGGCTGACAGAATGACTTGCCCTGGGCCCACAGCAGGAGAGGGAAGCGCCTGAGCAGAGTTTGGGAAACAGGAACACTGGGCTCTCATCCCCTGATTCTATGGGTGAGGGAAAAGATGCTCAGAGAGGGCTGGGAAACTGCCCAAGGCCACACAGTAATCCTGGGAGAATGTGGGATGTCCAAAGGCCCCTGGGAGGTAGGGAGTCCGCAGGATGGAGTCTCTAGGCTTATTTCAAGTCGGCCTCCTTCCAGGCAGAGCTTCAGGGGAGGAGAGTGGGGGACTGGTGAGGCGTGGGTCCCAGACACTCGCTCCCTCGGTCTCCGGGCAGCCGGCGAGCTCTGGCTTTGGGAAATGGAAGCCACATTCATCCCTGCCGCGGCGTGAGCTCACTGTCTAGGCATGTGCAGCTCCTGACCCCAAAACCACGTGTGTCCTCTCTCGACCTGACCCACGGAATGGAAATGGGGCTTCCTGGAGGCTCGGACGAGGGAGGGGACCCGGACCTTTGGCTCAGGACATGCCACCCCACTTCTCTGAGAGTCCAGCCCCCTGCACCCCGAACCCCTGCTGACGCAGCAGGAAACCAGCCCGTCAGTCACTTGCTTCCTGGTGGAGATGGCTGGCTGGCAAGCAAGAGCTGCCTGCGTCCCTTCCTTCCTCTCCAAACACAAGTTCACGTGCGAGAATCAGGGCCTGGCCAGGAAACGGGCATTCCAGGCCCCGGGGAGGTGCAGGAAGAGGGCTGAGTGAGAAAAATTGGGTCTGAAAACTCACATTTAATGACAGCCCTGGCGTCTCCTCGCCCCATCCTCCAGCACCCAAGGGCTGTACCCAGTTACATCAGCGAGTCCCAAGTCCTTCAGGCTGCTGAGTCCACACAAGGACAGGGTGTTGGGCTCTCCATTTAACAGATGGGACAACTGAGGCTCAGAGAGTTAGACACTTGCTAAAGGTCACACAGCTCGGTGGCGAAAATATGGTGTAGAACTTGAGGAGTGGGGTTTTGGAGTCTGGGGTCCGGTGCTAAAGGGGGGCTTGTGGGCAGGTGGAAGTCCTGGTGGGGGGAGGTCCAGGGAAAGGATGGGAAAATGAGGCTGGGGCCAGGGGGGCAGGCGAAGGGGGACAAACAGGTGGGTCCACATTCCAGACTCCCTACCTGTAGCTCCCGAAAGCTCTTTTGCCCCCGAGGTCCTTCCTCCTCCCAGGGGCTGGTGGCGGAGACACAAAAGGAGCCAATTTTCAGGGCTCTCTGGCCCGCCCGCGCGCCAGCCTGTGGGCGGCCCTGGCCTCCAGCCTAGGCGCCTCCTGGTGGCGCAGGCAGGTGCCAGATGGCACCAGGCTGCAGCCTGTCGTGGCTCTTTCCTCTTCAGACTGGAAGGTGGAAAGATAGTTCTCAAAAGACGGTGACTCTCAAAGGCATGGGAAGATGCGAACGTGTTAAGTTTTAATTTAACTCCCGCGGAGCCGGCAGACGCCCCAGCGCTTCAAAGGGCCCGAGCCGGAGGCGCGGCCGTTCGCGGGTCCAGGGTGTGAAGCGCAGGCGCCCAGGCCACCGGCTCCCCGTGGGTCGGAGGTGGCCCTGCAGCGTCCCAGGCCCCGAAGTCTGGAGCCCAGTGGGTTAGAAGGACGACGTGTGGCTCCGCGGCTCCAGCCGGGAGTTATGGGGGGGTTCAGAGGCCAGTGGCGCGGTACCCGCGACGGCTGTGCAGAGGGCGCGCCCGTGGGCCCGCCCCCCGCCCGCCGCGCAGGACCGGCTCCTGAAGCCGGGCTGTCCTCGTAGAAAGGAGGGCTGCGCCCGCCCCAGCACACCTGCCACCACCAAGACCGCATGAGCAGCCAACAGCCACCACCAAGACCGCATGAGCCTGAGACAGGGGACCTGCGTGCTCTGCGTGCGGCCCCGGGTGCCACCCCAGCACACGCAACAAAAACAGACGGAAGCAGAAACTCAGAAAGGCCCCTACCAGGGCAGGGGACAGGGCAGGCTGCTCCAGGGGACATCTGGGAAGGGCAGTCAGGGGCTGAAATTCCAGATGCAAAGGCCGTGGGCCAAGGCGGGGAGGAGGGTGGTCTCCAGGGGACACAGGCTGGGGTGGGGCTTGTGTCCTGTTCTCACTAGAGTCAGTTCTGAGCTCTGCCCAGGGCAGAGACGGGCACAGAACGAATTCTGAGTGCTCCAAGAGCCCGCCGCCAAGGGCAGATGCCACTCGCTGCTGAGCTGGGCACAGGTGAGGGCCCTGGTCCCCTGCGGGAGGCTCAGCGGCCCACTCCAGCCCTCCCCGCCCCCCCGCCCCGTGCCCGGCTCTCCTCCAGCCGCCTCCTGCCGCAGAAGCAGAAGGTGGGAGACGGGAAACTCCAACTGGGGCCTCCCCGTCTGAGTGGGCGCTGCTGCCACAACTTCATTTCTTTCTTTTTTTCTTTTTACATTTTTTTTTTTTAGCTGTAGCTGGACGCGATTTCTTTATTTTATTTATTTGCATAAGGTGCTGAGGACCGAACCCCGTGCCCCACGCGTGCCAGGCGGGCGCTCTTCTGCTGAGCTCCAGCCCCAGCCAAAACTTCACTTCTTGAAGAGGTGGAGTCGGGCTGGGGCTGGGGCATACATGGGAGGCACTGGATTTGCTCCTCAGCACCATATAAACATAAAGGCATTGTGTCCACCTACAGCTAAACAAATATTTAAAAATATGTTGAGCCAGGATTTTCTCGTTTGTGAAAATTTTCTTCCCCCCACTTTTTGGATGTAAAATTCACATACACTTCTTTTTTGGTACCAAGGACTGATTGAACCCATGGACACTGAACCACTGAGCCACAGCCACAGCCACAGCCACAGCCACAGCCACAGCCCGCTCCCCTTTAAAAAACTGTGGAGACAAGGTCTCACTGAATTGCTTCCTGCCTCACTGAGTGGCTGAGGCTGGCTTCGAACTCGCCATCCTCCTGCCTCAGCCGCCTGAGCCCTTGGGATCACAGGCGTGCGCCACTACACCTGGCAAAACTCGTCACCGCAATGTGCACAATGACCTCTACCTGGACCCAGAACATTTCCATCCCCTAAAAGAAGACCCTGTCCCCCGATGTTTCTGTCCCTGTAGACTTTTCTGTTCTGGAAGTTTCCTACCAACAGAACCACACTCTGCGGCCTCTCCTGTCTGGCCTCTCACTGGTCACTGTGCCATGGTCTGCAGCAGCACTTCGCCCTTCTTCAAAGCAAAACAACACTCCACTGTGTGGCCAGGCCCCCTCTGCTCCTCCACACCTTTGGGCTGTTGTAAATAATCCTACTAGAATCACCTGTGCACAGGTATTTGCGTGAACACCTGTTTTCTCTTTTCAAGTCTCTGGCTGGGGTGGATTGGGGACATCACACCCAATGCTGGGCTGCTAGTGAGCACCCCTCACTATCATTTATGAAGCTTCATTTCAGCCCAAGACCAGGGGGCCTCACTGCTTTGGGCCTGTGGTGAGGGTGCCAGATGGCAGTGGGAGGGGACACAGGGGACATGTGTAAGAGCAACTGCTCACAAAGACAGGAAGTTAGGGTCCCACAGGCTCCTGAAGGCACGTCTCTCCAGTGACCCAAGGACCTCCCAGCATGCTCTACTTTTTTTCTAAATACCTTTATTTTATGTGGTGCTGAGGATCAAACCCAGGGCTTTGCAATGTGCTAGGCGAGCGCTCTACCACTGAGCCACGACCCCAGCCCCTACTTTTTTAAAAACCAAATTAATCTTAGTTGATGAACACAACACATTTTATTTATTTGGACGTAGGCCTCACAGGTGCTGGGCAAGTGCTGGACTACTGAGCCCCAGCCCGTCTCTACTCTTTAAGGTTCACAGCACCTCCAATAGCAATACCCTGGGGACCACCTACACACGTGGATTTTTGGGAGCCACTATCCATATGCTTAAGTCCTTAGGGACATCCACTGGTGACGCCAACTCCTTGGAGGGAGGAATGGGGCGGTCAGGAAAGCATGGGCCATGGGGGCACAGCCACCTGTGTCCACAGGCCCCATTCCCCAAAGGCCACAGTTCAGTGTCACACAGACCACAGCCACAGGAGAAAAGGGCAGTGACCAGGCCAGTGCCCTGCGGACACAGGCAGTCCAGTCCAGCAGACCTGAGTACCAATGCAGGTGGAAGGGCCCCAGGATGGACAGGGAGACTGTGGTCAAGTGACAGTGCCGGGGACAGCTGCAGGTTCCAGCTGGAACATCAAGGCCATGACCAACCTGGGCATCCCGCCAGTTGCGGTGACCTACAGTGCCTGCCCACAGGCAATGCTTTATGGGGGCAGGGCTGATTGGCATTGGGACCTTACAAGGTGGCTCCTCGTTGGCTGTGTCCCCAGGGCTGAGGAATGGCTGGGCAGACAGAGGAAATGACCAGAGTCACCTAGGGTCTCAGTAAGCACAAGAGCCCTCGCAGCTCCATGTGCAGAGCACCATCATCTGGGATGAGCAGGACAGGACAGGTCTTCAGTGGAGCCCGGTGGGCACCACCCGCTGGCAGGAGGGCTGACAGGAGGTAGGCCAAGCCAGGTTTATTGTTCTGGGGTTCAGCAGTGGAGACGGGGCCCTGGCACGGGACAGAGGCAGCTGAGCACACCCCTTTCTTGGTGCCCTGGGAGGTCCACCTGCATGCTATGGTGCCCCCTCAAGTCGGTGCCACCCGGAGCTGGGGACAGGACCCTCTGCCTACGGTGCCGCCTGCGGGGTGCAGTGGGGCTGGGGCCTCAGGAGGGTTTCCTGGAGGTGGCAGAGGCCCCCTTCTTCTTGGCTGGGGCCCGCAGCAGTGCCAGCCTCTTGGGCAGACTGGAGCTCGCTTTCATCACCACGTCGTGTTCGATCTTCTTCCGAATCCCAACCTCCAGGTCCTGAGGAGGCAACCAGAGAAACCCGAGGTGGGGAAGCCGGGCTGCCACTCTCCTGCCCAGAGCCCTCAGAGCTGGGTCGGCAGGTCTCCCCTCACCTGGCACCGGCCTGGGAGTCTGGACCTAAGTCTCACCCACCCACTTTGGGGCCTAAATGCTCAACTTTCTCACATCTGTACCTCTGTTCATGTCCACTTTATAGATGGGGAAACTGAGGCTATGTAGCAAGGAGGTCCTTGCCGGGGATCCCCAAGCCACATGGGTGCCCAAAGCCTCTGACCTCAGATGACCCTCCTATCCCATGTCATCTCTGCTTTGCTGAAGGTGACTGAGGCTCTGAATGGGGACGTGAACCAGTCTGGCTGAATCACCACCCTCAAACTGCACCTTCCCTACCTACACAAGTTCCAACACCATGACCACCACCACCAGGGTGGCTGACCGCGTGCTCAGGTACAGGGGAAAGGAGAGTGAACAAGATGTGGAAAAATCCCTGCCCACGTGGAGCCAATATTCAATGCAAACGTGTGGAAGAAATTAGTCTCAGTGACATGGTGCATTAGACTTTTAAATGCTACTAAGCGCTGCTGTGCAGAATCAGAGATGATGGGGAGGTGACGCTGCCATCAGGGAAGGTGTCACTAAAGCCACCTGCAGAAGGGAAGGGAGCCATGCAGATTCCCAGGGAAAGAGTCCAGGCAGGGAAAGCAGCCAGAGTGAAGTTCCAAAGTGGACAAGGAGTCACTAAGGGATGAGTAAGGGACTCTCCAGAGGGAGGGAGGGGGAAGAGGGGAGGAGAGATGGGCAGGGCCCTTCTGGCTGAGGTGAGGACCTGGGCTTTTCCTGTGAAGGGGGTTCTGGGCAGAGCAGGGACAGGCTCCCTAGGGCTGCTGTGGTGGCTGTGGGGAAAGGGTGGAAGCCAGGAGACCTGGCAGGGGGTGACCACGAAGTCCAGTTGGGAGGTGACATGGATGGGAAGTGGGTGGATCCCAGACCAATTCTAAAGGGATGGAGAGAAGCGGGAATAGGATGTCGTGAGATAAGACTCCAGGACCATGGGTGGGGAGGAGGGGGACGGGAAAGATGCATCAGGAGCTCTTTTGGACACTCGGAGTCTGGGATGTACTTGAAACTCCTACCCACCCCCCACAGAGATACGCAGACCACTTCTACCCAGGTTTTCTCTTCCCACTGGGGCTGGTCAAGGAACCCAGGGCTTCTTAAATGCTAGGCAAGCACTCTGCCACCAAGTGCAAGCCCAGCCTTCCTCTAAGGTACTATGACTAGCCTTCATCCTCCTCTCTCAGCCTCCACAATAGCGAGGATTAAAGGGGCCAGCCACTGTGCTTGGGTTGGGGGTTAGGTACCCTGTTTTTAAAGAATCACACTCTGGGGAGACTAATGATTTGCTCAAGGTGACGAGACTAGTGAGTGTGGGCTACAATTCAAATCCACGTCTGCTGCCGACAAAACACACCTGAATCTCCTTCCAACTTCTCCATCAGCTCAACCCTACCCACTTACACAGAACGGCTACACTTCAAGACTAGCACAAAAAGCCTGGGCGTGGTGGCGCAGGCCTGTAGTCCGATCGGTTCGGGTGGTTCGGGAGGCTGAGGTGGGAACGTTGCAAGTTCAAAGCCAGCCTCAGCAACTTAGTGAGGCCCCTGTCTCAAAAACTAAAAAGGGCTGGGGATGTGGCTCCGTGGTTAAGCGCCCCTGAGTTAAATTCTTGGTACCAGGGAAAAAAAGACAACGCGAACCGAGGCCGTGCACCCCTGTCGCCCCGCAGGGCTCTCAGCGCCGGGAAGGCGGTGCCCTTACTAGGGCGGCTCACAGGTAAAAGGCCAATAGCGAGGAGCTACTGCTCGTCGCTGGAGCCGAGATCTGCACTCAGCGCTGCCTCCTGGCAAGGCCGGGGTTCTGCACCCCGCAGCCGGCGGGCTGGGAAGGCTCCTCGTTCCAGGCCTCGCTGCTTCCAGGCCTGCAGAACGCGAGGCGCGTTTCTCACTCCCCGCGCCAGAGAGGACGCAGAGGCTCCGAGGCCGGGCCTTCTCCCGGGCCCTCGACGCTCCCTGGGAGCCACCTCAGGTGGCCCGCCGGCTCCACCCGCCGCCGCTCGCTGGCCCCGCTCACCTTCTTGAGCTTCCGCTGCTGCACGACGCGCGCCTTCTTGGGGGCGATAACGCGACCTGGGAAAGACGCGGTGGCATGAGGCCGGAGGGTCCTGAGCCCAGCTCTCCCCGCCCTTCCCGGCCCCGCTTCTCACCTCCTTTCCGCGGCCCGCGGTTCCGCTCCGAGGCCGCCGCTGCAGTTTTACTCTTCGCCGGCTTCTGCGCCTGAAACTTGCGCTGCCCCTGCGCCATGATCGGGCACCGCCGGAAGGGGCGAGGCCTCGGCCAGTCGTAACCGGAAGGAGCTCGGCACCTGGGGGCCAGAGGGCGCAAGGGCTCACGGGATATAGCGTGGCTCCCCAGGAGCTGTCAATCCTACCACTCGCCAACAGTTCCCAGTGTGTAAGGCCAACATTACGAGTGCTTCCTAAAAGGCGCATCATTTTATGCTCTTTATACATAGAAGCCCGGATTAGGGTGAGGCCAGGCATGGAAAATGTAAGGGGTGACAAAAACTTCAGTGATCATGATTATATATATATATATATATATATATTTTTTTTTTTTTCTTTGCAGTGCTGGGGATAGGACCCAGGGATTCTTGCAGGCTAAGCAGAAGCTCTGAGTCACACCCGAGCCCCCCCAAGAATCCTTTCAATGTTTTAAACCATCTTAAACCAGGCGCATGGCACCCGCCAGTAATCCCACCCACTTGGAAGCCTGAGGTAGGAAGATCGCAAATTCCAGAAGGTCCATCTGGGCAATTTAGGGAGAGCTTGACTGAAAGGGGGAAAAAAAAAAGCTGGTTGGATTCTGCTCAATCCCCAGTAAGGCCGGGGCTGGGGATGTGGTTATGCTAGAACACTTGCCTGCTGTGTGTGAGGGTTCAATCCCAGCACCCTATTCCCCCAAAAAACAAAAACAAATAAAATTCACCACATTCAACTATAGCGTGTAGAATGGCTGCCTGATTTTGTAAATCAAGTTTTATTGGAACCATAGCTGGTATCAGGCATGAGGAGAGTAAACTCAAATGGCAAATATAAGGTTAAATTCTTTATTTAAAATCTTGGAACCATGGAATTATTTTTACATTCTTTTTTTTTTTTTTTTTGTAACTGGGAATTGAACCCAGGGCACTCAACCACTGAACAACATCTCTAGCCCTTTTTCATATTTTATTTAGATACAGGGTCTCGCTGAGTTGCTTAGTGCCTCACTAAATTGCTGAGGCTGGCTTTCAACTCTCGATCCTCCTGCCTCAGCCTCCCAAGATGCTGGGCTTATGGTGTGTGGCCCTGTGTCCAGCTGCCTAATTCTTTTAAAAGAGAAAAATACTGCATTAGGCGGGGCGTGGTGGTACACGCCTGTAGTCCCAGTGGCTTGGGGGACTACGAGGATGAGTTCAAAGCCAGCCTCAGCCACTTGAGTGAGGTACTAAGCAACTCAGTGCGACCCTGGCTCTAAAAAAAAAAAAAAAAAAAAGGGCTGGGGATGTGGCTCAGAGTTCAATTCCTGGTACCTATCCCCCCCGAAAAAAAAGAAAAAAGAAAAAGAAAAAAATTGTATTAAAATATTATTTCTCTTAATTACTAAGGTTTTGGGGAGTCGTTTAAGTAAGTAGGTGTTACGCTACTTACTTAAGGGAGGTACTAGTATCAGCCCCATCTTATAATTGAGGAAAGGCACAGAGAGGTGAAGCGACTTGCCCAAGATAACACAGTGGAGAAAGAGATAGAGCTGGGATTTGAAATTGGGCAGCTTAGTTGCAGCTCCTGGGTTCTTTTTTAAAATATCTTTTAGTTGTCAATGGACCGTTATTTTATTTATTTATATGTGGTGCTGAGAATCGAACCCAGTGCCTCGCACATGCTAGGCAGGTGCTCTACCACTGAGCCACCACCCCAGCCTGCTGCTGGGTTCTGAAGAGCTGTGCAAGGCCCTGACCGCTCTCCCTGCTCTAGAGAGAACCGGGGGAAGGTCAGTTTTGGGTAGGCCACTCGATCAATTTATTATAAAACCTGAGAGACATGGGCAAGGTAGAAGGCTGAGGTGGTTCCATCCGGTCCGTCTGGGGTCCCTCCGCTAGGAGACCGAGGTGCTCAGGGCCGTCCGGAGCTCGGCCGGGGCGAAGACACCCAGCTCGGTGACGATGCCGCCCGTGATGAGGTCATGGGGGGTGACGTCAAAGGCCGGGTTCCAAACCTCAATTCCTGCAGGGAGAGAGGGAGGTGTGGAGGGAGGATGTGGTGCCGTGGACATTCCCAGGCTCTTGTCACCTGTGTCCATCACGGTGATTCTTGAGAATCTGAGAGTCCTCGCCCCTGAAGCGCAGGAAGGCTGGGGCAGTGCACCTGTGACAAGGTCAGACCCCTCCATTCTCGGACCGTCCAGCCCAGGCAGGCAGCTTCACGGCCTCACGCGCCTCCGCCACCTCTGGCCACCGTGGAGCTTCATCAGGAACCTCAGACCCGCAGGGTGCGGCGCAGCCCGTCAAGCCGGGGTGGGAAAGAACCTCAGGACCTAGCCCTGTTCTGAAGTGGCACCCCTTTCTCCACTGGAAAGTCTTAACTGGGCCTCTCCAGAAATCTTCCCCATGGCTGATTTTAGGACTTTCAGCAAAAGAGTCTCTGTGAAAGAGTCCAGTGGAGATAAACTTCCTGTTTTCCTGTCGCCCTGTTTTCTTGGCCACTGGCCGGGAAGATACCAGCACTCCAGGTGCTGGACACCCCTTACTAGTTTTTCACAAACGCATCCAGTATAGTACTTTGAAGAAATGTGCAAACAAGGCCTCTGGCCTTGAGCTGGGCTTCACAGAGATGTCTACATTTTTAAGATAAGTTACAAAGGGGCTCCATGGGAACAGCTGGCAGGGGGAGGGAAGAAAGGGGAAAAGAGGCTCTCCCCTTCTCAGGTGTGGTCCTTGAAGAGTTAACTTGCCCAGAACAGAGAAAGTAAAAGCTGCTTTTCTGTGAACTTCTGCAGACTGTGAACTTCTGAGCCCCTCCCCTTACATGCTGGGTATAAAACTCTGAAATTCCCTGAACTTGGGGTTCAGGGAATGGATTGATGACAGCAAAAGCTGTGCCCTCTGAACCTGGCTGCAGCCAAATACAACTGTTTCCTGTCGTCTTAGGTGCCTTGCCTCGTTTGTCCTCCTTGAGGTCTTTTTCTTTCTTTCCTTTTCTCTAGCACTTGGGCTGGAACCTAAGTGCTCTACCACTCAGCTACTCCCAGGCCAATGGAAAAACAAACAAACAAACAACAACAACAACAACAACAAAAAACTGGGGCTTGGGTGTAGGTGGAACACCTGCCTGGCATGCACAAGGCCCTGGGTTCCATCCCGGCACCAAACAGAAAAAGAAAAAATCATTTTCTATTTGTGATCATCACTGTAACTGCTGATATTTCTTGAGCTAATATTTAAAGGGACTGCATGCTTCTAAAGGTCATGTGGATTCATTTACTGAAGGTCCCTGAGTTTACGAAGAGGTTCTTTTCTCTTCTCTACTAGGGACTGAACTCTGAGGCACTCGACCACTGAGCCACACCCCAGCCCTGTGTTATTTAGAGACAGGGTCTCACTGAGTTGCTTAGCACCTCCTCATTGCTGAATCTGGCTTTGACTAGAGATCCTCCTGCCTCAGCCTCCGGAGCCGCTGGGGTGACAGGCTTCTATGAAGAGGTTTTAATGGTAGCTTATTTTTTTTTTTTTCCTTTGCAGCCCTGGGATGGAACCCAGGGCCTCCCACATGCTGGGCTGGGGCCCTACCACAGCCACACCTCAGCCTGGCTCAGTTTCCTCGGAGACAGCTGGCGGGGCTATTCTTGTTTCTCGCTCAAGTGAGGAGGTCACAGAGGATACAGGACACCACGTTACTCACTGCAAACTCTCACCTGAACTCAGAGTGCCCTGCTGTAAGGAATGGCTTGACGGAGCTGCCTGTGCCCCCCGCCCAGCAGGCTGCCCATGCCCTACATGCCACCCACCCCCAGAAGTGCTCAAGTGCCAGCGTCTCCTGTCTGAGCCCCCAGCTTACCGGGTGCTGCGATCCTGACCCCGTTGACGTCAGTCAGCTCCTGGCCGGGCCGCTCCTCAATGACGATCTCCTGGCCCGTCTGCAGGTGGAGGTCGCACGAGGAGCTGGGGGCGGCCACGTAGAAGGGGATGCCGTGGTGCTTGGCGGCAATGGCCAGCTGGTAGGTGCCCACTTTGTTGGCTGTGTCACCGTTGGCGACCACGCGGTCGGCTCCCACGACAACGGCTGGGAGAGAGAGGCTGGGGGTCACGTGACGTGGTCCTGGCTGCCCCGAGCCCTGCCCACCTGCCCACAGCACGCAGCCCGCTGACCTGACACTCCCCGGTGCGCCATGGCGGCGGCCGCCATGCTGTCGGTGATGAGGGTGGCGGGGATGTGCTCATAAACCAGCTCAAAGGCTGTCAGCCGGGCTCCCTGGTTGTAGGGCCGCGTCTCTGTGCAGAAGGTGCGCTCCAGGCGGCCCAGGTTGTACAGGGAGCGAATCACACCTGTGGGGGCAGCAGAAGGACAGGGTTGCCCAGTGGTGAGGGACGCAGGCGCCTAGGCTGGGAGGGGATCCCCAAAACCTCACCAAGCGCAGTCCTGTCCCTGCTAACACCTATTTGTCCTTCCCGCAGTCGGCCCCTCCCACTTCCCTGGGGCCTCCCTAGGGCAGAGACCTTGATTGCTTTATTTCCTTCGGACTCCAGTGCCCAGCACACAGCAGGTGCTTAATGCATGCTGGTTGCAGCAGGGCACTGGAGTGCCATGGTGGTGCACGCCCACAGTGCCAGCTGCTTGGGAGGCTGAGGAAGGAGACTGCAAGTTCAGGACAAGCCTGGGCACTTAGCAGACCCTGCCTCAAAATAACAAGGGCTGGGGACGTGGCGCTGCGGGAGGGCGCGTATCTGGCATGTCTGAGGTCCAGTGCCACCGGAAACGAAAACAGCCGGTTGAGTGGATGAGTCAAAGGCAGGAGTCCTTTATGAGACCAGAGTTCCAGGACTACAGGAGGGGCCCAGAGAGCCAGGAAGCTTCCCGGATCCTGAGCGTCAAGGGGGCCTGCCGCCTTGACACTGCCCACCCCTCCTGGTCACAGCCACCCCGATCTCACCTGCAGGGAGGCTGTTCCCTTCTCCTGTCCTTTTGGAGTCCACATCCCACCCACTCTCCAGGCATAAGCCTCAGTCCAGGCCCATTAAGTGACCGGGCCTGGAAGAGCAGGTGATCCTATCAGGAATCTTGAGATACAAGGAAAGTTTTGATACTCTTGGCTCTTTTTCTTGTGATCTGAGCCCTGGGAGTCCCCTGTGCCAACCCCCAGAGCATGAAGATAAAGGAGAGCAAAGCTAAGGACAGGACAGGTGGATCCTTATGTCATTGGTTGAGCCCTGGGTCTAGCTGTACCTGATGCCAACCACCTACATTCACTGTTTTGGGTGGATAAAGTGGTTTGAGTTTCTTTTCCATCCAATAAAAACAAAGGCCCACTCCTGTCCCTGAAGACACCACTCACCTAGGGCCGTGCCGTAGCCAGCAGTGGCCAGTGCCCCAGTGTTGCAGTGGGTCAGCACGGTCACCTTGCCCCCCCCAGGGGCTGCCCGCTCCAGGATGTGGTGGGCTCCCAGGTCCCCGATGCTCCGGTTGTCTCTGAGGTCTTTCTCCAGCATGTCCTCGGCGCAGCGGATGACTCTGGGCCGACAAGGAGGGTTAGTGCCAGCTGCCAGGTCCAGGCTGGTCCCGCCTCTGCCCAGGGCTGTTGTGTGAGGCCTACTGCTCAGGCCTCTTGCTCTTGTGAGGCTGGACGTTCTGCCACCGGCACAAACCCCTTATGCTCACAGTGTGTGCTCGCTATTTCTGGTGTGCCAATGCTAGGGAGGGGGCAAAGGAGTAAACAAGATGAAAATCTGTCCCTGTGGAGCTGACACTGGGGTGGGGGGGCAGGTGATGAGCAGATAAAATGAAGGAGGAGGCAGCAGAATTCCCAACAGAGAGCAGGGGGCCAGCTGTATTATGAAGAGGGGTCGGGGAAGGCAGAGACCTGAAACCCCAAGCTCTGGGGTTACTTGGCTTGTAGCAAGTGCATGTGCCAAGGCCCTGAGGCAGGAGTGAGCCTGGCCTAGTCAAGGAACACTGAGGAGACAGGTGTGGTTGGAGCCACCGGGAAGAGGAAGAAAGGAAGAAGGCAGGTAAGGGATGAAGACCGGAAACAAAGTTCCTCAAAAGCAAAAATCAAGGGAACCAGGGGAGCCACACAGGCACAGGTGAGCTGGGCATGGGAGGGGTGGGGTTTGCATAGCTGAGGTCAAGAGCTCTAGGGCCCAGGTCCGCGGCGTCACCTGAATGCCGTGCCTCTATTTCCCCATCTGTAAAATGCGTACACAAAGCCAACAGCGTCTGTTGCCGGGGTGACCGGCGCAGGGCTCCCTACCTCTCCCGGACCGCCTCCTCGGTGGCGCCCTCTTGCTCCGCCTCCTGAGTTGCGGCGTCCGCCAGGTCGTGAGCAGCGCGGGCCATGTTGACAGCGGTGGGCCGGGCGGTCACGAGGAAGCTCAGCCTGTCGCGCACGAAGTCCACCAAAGGGGCAAGACCCGGCCCCCCGGCGCCCGTCTGGAGCTCCACGGCGAGGCTGAGGCAGCCCACCAGGGCGATGGCCGGGGCGCCCCGCACCTGTGGCACAGGGCGGCAGGGGCTGCAGAGGCTGCAGAGGCGCGCGCTCCCCCGCCCCCAGCCTCGCCGTCCCGCGCGGCCCCACCTTCATGGCGCGGATGGCCTCCCAGGCCTGCGTCACCGAGCCCACCGCCTCATAGCGGCTCTGCTGGGGCAGTAGCAGCTGGTCGAGGATCTGCAGCGAGCCCCGCGAGTAGCGGATGGCCTCCAGCGGCATGGCTCCGCCGCCACCGTCACCGCCGCCACCGCGCAGGCGGGGCGGGACCTCCCGGAAGATTGCACATGCGCATTCCAGCCCTATCCGAGGGACTCCCAGACCCGAGTCCATGTGGCAGAAGCCACCCCAGCCCCTTGCCAGTTACCCGGCCCCTTGGAACCCCAAAACGCAGCGTCTGCGGAGCGCCTGGCCCCTGACCCCACTGCGCAGCGGCCTCTGAAGGGAGACGGAGTGCTGAAGTCCCTTGGGTTCCGCAGGCAGGGCCCCCTGGGCCTGACCCTGTAACTGGCAAGCCCACCCCCCCGACAGGGCCAGCATATGGCGTCCAGCTGACAGGAGTTGGAGTGGGGGTCACATCATCATCCCAGAATCCTAAGGTGTAGGCCGAGGCCACTACCTGGGGGACTCCAGGACTGGGGACTAAGGAACCGGCAGGCTCTTCAACCCTGCCCCAAGCCCTGTCCATCCCAGTGGAACAGCGTCCACTTGATGCTTGAAGCACAGCCCTTGCTGCTCTCCCACGGCTACTGAGATTTTAAGGGGACACGTTTCTCCTCCGCCCTAATCTCAGGGCAGGCAGGGCTACCCTTCTTCCCATCCCGGCCACAGGCCTCTGTCCCTGAGCTCACGCCCCGCAGGACCGAAGTCCTCCAGACCTCGGGGATGGCCTGGGAGAGCTCAGAAATTGTCTCCCAAATTAACAGGTGAATGACCACTCCAGACAGAGAATGTCACTTTTGACGCACTTCATTAAAGGCCCCCTGCCTGCTGGTGGGCAGAATCACAGCCTTTGGGACTGGAGATGCCCGTGTTTCTCCTTTGCTGGCAAAGGATAAAACCCGTTTCTCCTTTTTCTCAAAACGAGTCCCCACTGTTGGACTGGCATCGGAGACAGGCACCAGCGTTGGGCAACACAGCGGGAAGTAGGCGTGGCCAAGGGTGCCACTTCCCTGAAGGGGGTGGGGGAAATGCCAATTTGGCTTGGATCTCAGTGTGGCATGGACAGGAGGCCTTAAATTTCACCCCCGTCTCCAGTGGCAAGACTGTGGATGTAAACATTAGGTGCTCAATCAGTGTTTATAAAATGGTCTTTCTGCAGGTTGAGGGGAGGTGGCAGGCCACACGCCCTTTGTAGATGTCATTTTCTGGGCCACTTTCTGCCCCCTTTCCTTCAGAGCAACCCCTGGGGCCTTCCTCAAGACCCTTCCGTGTGCCCCCGTGCCGGGGGGTGGTGACCAACAGCCCCTCCCGCACCTGCTCTGGATCTGGGTGCCCTGGGCCCCATCTCTGGCCATCTTGTTGGTTCCTCTGCTTGGACCCCTCTCCACCCTCCACCCTCCACCCTCAGCTGGTGCTGCCTTTTCCAGGAAGGTGCCTGACCCCAGCCCATCTGTGCCACCACCTGGAAACCCTCACCACCGGGGAGCCAGATGGACAGAGCAGGACAGACAGCCCCTGGGCCTGTCCAGCGACCCAAGGCCGGGCAGAGAACAGGGCTTTAATGTGGGGATGCGGGTCCCACAAGGCACGAGGCCCTCACCAGGACCAAATAAATAGCAATCCATCGCTGAGGAGGGCAAGGGGGAGGGGCGGCGAGGGGGCGCTCCGGGGTGTGGGCCAGGGCCTGGGTGCTCTAATGGCCCCGAGGGGTCCAGTCCACGTCACTCACTCTCGGAGTCAGAGTAGTCGGCCACCAGAGAGGAGCTCAGGCTGCCGGGCTGCAGTGTGCCTGGAGGGTCCGGTGCCTCCAGGGAGGAGCCTGATGGGGGCCGGGACTTGTCCTGACCGTTCCCCTCCTGCCCCCACTGTCCGCAGGTCTTGGGGTTCGCTGTCTCCTCAGAGCCGTCCTGGGAGGACGCGGGTCTGTCCTGGGTGGTCCCCTGAGGTGCCTGCGGCTCTCTGGACTTGGCCTTCTCGGCCGTGGGCTGGGGGCTCCCAGGGACGTCTCGAGGCCGCCGCACGATGCCCAGGTCCTCCACGGTGATGGGGCAGCTGCTGGGTGCGCACCTGCGGCCCTGGGCCAGCTTCCTCAGGACGCTGCTGGCCTTGCTGCTGGCGCTGCCGGGGCCCGGGGCGGAGGGGAACCAGGAGCGGCTGATGATCTCCGAGCGCTTGAGTTTCTGCTTGTCCTCGTAGGCTGGGGGAGGGGATTGAGGAAGGGACAGGTGTGGCTCAGGGTAGGGCACGGAGGAGCAGGCGCCAGAGAGGCCTGGCACCAAAAATTAAATAGCTCCTCGCGGCCCGCCACACCCCTCACGGCCAGGCACCCCCACCTCTGTGCCCCTCCTATGGCTGCCCCACTCCCGGGAGCCCCCAACTCACAGTCCAGGGTGTGGAACCTGAGCAGGGAGGCCAGCCTGCGGTCGTCCTCCGACTCGGGCACCAGGGGGATGGCCAGGCTGGCCTTGGCCTGCAGGGCCTGGTCCCTCTCCTCCTCCTCCTGGATGGCTTTTTTCTTTTCCTGTGAGGGAGCAGCAGGGGCTCAGGGTCACAGCCCCGCCTCTCCCGCTCCAGCAACTGGGTCTCAGGCTCCCCCTCTGTGGGAGATGCCACTGTCACCGACACACAAATCAGGGCCCCTCTATTGTCCATCTAGACAAGATGGCCATGCTGCCCAGGGACGGCTGTGGCCCTGTAAGATGGATGGGGCTGGAAACACCTGCTGCCTGGTGGCACAGCCACCGTGGCTTCCTCTGGCCATGCCCCTCCTGTGCTGGTGGTGATGCTGGTGTAAGTAAACATCGTCCAGCTAGAGGGAAGCACAGGGTGTGGCCACCTGCAGCACACAGTGCTGATGAGTAATTAGTGACCGTCACTGACTTGCGTGTTTACTACACTGTGCTTTCCCTTTCTCTTTTGCAATGGGGTCTCGGGGTTGCCCAAGCTGGTCTTGCATCCCTGGCTCAAGTGATCCTCCTGCCTCAGCCTCCTGAGCAGCAGTTTGTTATTTTAGAGAGTACAATTTTTATTGGTGGTGTTGTTTTAGTACTGGGATTGGACCCAGGGGTTCTCTACCACTGAGCCACATTCCGGCCCTTTTAAAAAAATGTATTTTATTTGGAGACAGGGTCTTGCTGAGTTGCTTGGGCCTCACTAAGTGGCTGAGGATGGATATTAACTCACGATCCTGCCTCAGCTTCTTGAGCTGCTCAGATTACAGGCGTGTGCCACTGTGTCTGGCCCAGCCCTTTTTATTTTGAGACAGGACTCACTAAGTTGTCCAGGCTGGCCGTGGACTTGGGATCCTCCTGCCTCAGGCTGAGTGGCTGGGATTACAGGTGTGCACACTGCGCTGCACTTGGAGTGAATTGGGTCTCTGTACTATCCGTGCCCGCTGCAGCCTCGGCACCTGGTGCGTCACGAACTGGGTTGGCCACACCTCCTGTGGCAAGAGGCCTCGTGTGTGGCTCATCTAGCCATCAACTCTGGGTTAGTCAAGGCCTGATGTACGCACAGCAGAGAATCCATTAGCACTGCTCAGAATGCGTTCCTGTCGTGGGGCGAGGTGCAACTGTGTGCACAGGATGCCACCTTGGCAGGGCCCTGTTAGGTCCTGGGAACCCAACATCGGGTAGACAAGAACCCTCGCTGAGCCAGGTGTGGTGGCCTGGCACACGCCTATAATCCCAGCTGTGCTGGTTCAGGAGGCTGAAGCAGAAGGATCACAAGTTCAAAGCCAGCCTCAGCCAAAGCAGGACCCTAAGCAACTTAGTGAGACCCCATCTCTAAATAAAATACAAAATAGGGCTGGGGAGGTGGCTCAGTGGTCGAGTGCCCCTGAGTTCAATCCCTGGTACCAAGAAACAAAAAACAGAAGCCCTTGCTAACACTGCAGTGGGTCAGTGGGCAAAGCAGTAGGAGAGATAAGGACATGGGGACGCGGGGAGGCAGAGGCAGGGAGGTCCGTGGGGAGTGCATGGAGGGCCAGGGGACGTCTCCCCGGGAAGTCACCTCTGGGAAGACCTGTGTGTGCAGGAACTCTGTGGGTTCTTCTAGGAGCAGAAGGAGCAGCTCCTGCAGAGCCTATGGCAGAGGAGTGCTCAGAATGACCAGGAGGGGCGAGGAGGCTGCGTGGCCCAGGGGCACCAATGCGGGGCAGAGGGGGAGGCCCCCAGGGGGAGGCGTAGATCCAAGGGCCCGTCACAGCATCAAGTGGGGTCGCTGGGGAACTGATTAGTTATCGGGGAGGTAATGGATCAATGCCGAGGAAATTGGGCCTAGGAATCTGTTTGTTCCCTGTCATGCGAGGACACAGCCAGAAGGTGCTGTCTGTGAGGAATGGCCCTCCCTGGACACTCATCCACCCGGGCCTTGGTCCTGGGCTTTCCAGCCTCAGGACTATGAGCAGTCAAGGCCTGCTGTGGCCATGTCGCCGCCTGTGTTTCTGTTCCAGCAGGACGGGAGTGACCCACGGGTCAGAGGAGGACACTGAGGCTCTGGGGTGAAATGACCTGGGGTGTGGTGGGGTGCTAGCTGATCCCGGCTCACAACCCACACTCTCCGGCTCCACGCCTGCCCTGCCGCCCCCCAGAGCCCCCGCCCTGTGCTCCTGACGGGGTGCTCACCCGGAACCTCCGCCGCAGCATGCTGTTGAGGGCGAAGTCGTCCTTCCACGCGCTCTGGGCCTCCTGGATGTGGCTCAGCGTGGGCAGGGCCTTCTTGAGCGCGCTGCGGTCCGCCTCCCCGTGTTCCAGGCGGAACATGGCGTCCGCCTCCAGCCTCTGCTTCTTCTCATGCTCTGCAGGGACCACGACAGTGCGGCTTGGGCCCCGCTCAGGGCCAGGGCCAGGCAGCTGGGCACGCGCCGGGCAGGTGGCGCTCACCTGTGGTCAGCACCTGCTCGTTGTCCGCCATGTCCCAGCGTTCCTCCTTGCGCTGGGCACCGCTCACGATCACATAGTCACAGTTGGCGGGGTCTGTCTGCATCTCGATATAGTTGACGCACAGGTGGCATTTCATCCGGAACCTGGGTGAGGGCATGGGCAGGAGTCGGATGCTGTGGGCACACCCGGGACGCCCAGGGCCCCCGTTCGCTTCCTTCCACCCACCAGCGACACCCAGTAGGGACTCGCTGGGCACCGACCACGCACTCGGGCTGTGTCTAGGAGGAGGGCGAGGTGAGGTGTGGTCCTACCCCCAGTGCCCTTCTGACAAAGTGGCCACCTTGGGTCCCAGGAACAACTCAGGGGTAGAGCACAGGCTTGTTTGCGTCAGGGCCCGGGTTCCATCCCCAGCACCACAGAAGGCCAACAGGAGGAAAGCACAGGCCAGGCACAGGCCAGGCAGAGGCCGGGCAGGGGCCGGCTCCTTTACTCCTTCATCGATGTCTCTCCGCCTTCACTTCCTCGTGCACGAGCTCGCTCATTCAACAACCTGAGACAGGCTGCTCTGTGCCAGGCTTGGGGCCAGCTGCTGGGGACGCTGCTGGGCAGTGGAGCAAGCCAACCTGCTCCTTTTCTGGCCCTCCCTGCTCGCGCGGACAAGCGCTGCACCTGAGCCACCCCAGGCCTGTTGGTTTTGAGATGGGGTCTCGCTACGCGGCTCAGTGGGAGTGTAGCTGGCCTTGAACTTGTGATGCTCCTGCCTTCAGCCCGAGGCTGGCATTACAGGCAGGTGCCACTGCTGATGCTCCAGAGGGGGACGAGTCACAGAGGGGTCCAACAACCGCACAGTGTCAGCAGGTGAGTGCCACTTAGCAAAGGCTTCTGTGAGGGTGGTGACGGAGGCACACCCGGGGGTCGGGAGCCCCGGAGGACCCGGTGGAGGGGTAGGCCTGCCTGACTGTGGGGAGGGGCTTCGGGAGCTCTACAGAGAGGGGCCCAAGGAGGGGGCAAAGCTCCCCCTTTGTGGTCCCCTAACCTGGCCCACACTGTTCCCGGTGCCAGGCGCTCCTACCTGTAGATGGGGGTCGTGTAGTAGTTGCCCACTTTCTTCTTCTCTGCATTGTACCGCACACCTGCGAGGGCAGGGAACAAGGCTCAGGCTGGGACCCGTGTCTCCTCAGGATGGGGACAGGCAGGCCCAGCACTGGAGGGGCCTTGGGAGGGCACAGACACCCATGTGGGAAGGGGGGGGTCCTGGCTGCACCCACAGGTGCTCTAGCCACAGAGGTGGGCCGGAGCCAGAGGGCCCGGGTTTGAGTGGGGCTCCACCACCGGCCAAGGCACTCAGGCTGCACCCTGCCCTCTGGGCCTGTGTCCCAGGATCCACCGCCTGCTTCCTGGGGCCCTGAAGCCAGCCAGAAGAGGGCACAGGGGCTGGACAGGGCTGGCACTCGGCAGGTGTGTAAGGAGGCTTGGCTTTTATTACCTGTTTAGAAAAACGGTCAGACTTTTTTGTTCTAGTTAGGTAATCTGTATTCTTTTTTAAATTTTTTTTAGCTGTCAATGAAACTTTATCTGATTCGTTATTTCTATGTGGTGCTGAGGATGGAACCCAGGGCCTCACACATGCAGGAAAGTGCTCTGCCACTGAGCGTCGACTCTGGGGACTCCTAACAGGAACTGGGGACTAAAACCCCGGGTGTGAGTCCGGCCCACCACCGACCACCCAGCCGCAGGTAATCGGTATTTCTAACTTCTGACTCTGTTCAAGGCTTGCACCTGGCAGGCAGAGCGGGCTGGTGGCTGGTGTGGCCTGCGGTTTACTTTCCTGGGCGGCTGCTTTAGTTCAGGCTCCGGGATGCACCCTGGCGCCAGGCTGAGGCCCAGTTTCCCCTCCTGTCTTGGGACAGGAACTACAACCAGCCCCTGGGCAATCTCTGTCCTCTAAGTGCCTGGAGGCTTATGAGGTAGGTACCCAGCTGGGTCTGATTAGAGGGACATGGGACTCACTCGTTCCCCTTGACAACGAGGTGGCCTGTCCCCTTCCTCCTGCAGTTCTGAGGCCCTAGAGAGAGGGCTGGGCCCTCCTGCCCACAGCTGCTGACCCCTGCCCGGGGAGCTGCTCTGGCCAGGTGCGGTGCAGAGGGCTGGTGAGCCGCAGGCGCTCACCCCTCGGCCGAGTCCTGGAGGATGCTCGGCTTCCCGCCACAGCTTTACGACACAGGCATCTGGGTTTTCTTCCGTGGTCCCCAGCTCCTAATTCCTCCCATGGCCCATAGAAATGAAAATCTCTCCCCCTGCCGTGGGTCACTCAACCTCTACCCCTCCCCAGCCTTTCTGCTCTGGAGCTGGCCCTGAAGAAACTCTTACCCAGCCCTGTCCAACGGGGGTCACAGGACCCTCCCCACCCCCGAGGGTCTTGCCCTATACCCGGAGGAGGAATACTGAAAGGCCAGGAGGAAGCGGACGGCAGGCCTGTCTGTCACAAACACGCCGTGCAGTGATGTTTCTGCAGGAACCAAAGGGCCAGGGTTTGGAAGCTCGAGCTTCCTGGAGGTGGCACCCCGGGAGCTCAGGCCCCTTCCCACTTCCCTGGCGGCTGGGATCAAACCCAGGGCCTCACTCGTGCGAGGTGAGCATGGAGTGTGTCCTCCCCTGAGCTCCCCAGAACTAATAAATGGTGTGTGTAGATTATTGTTTTTGTGCTGGGGACTGAACCCGAGGGTGCTTTACCACGGAGCTACATGCCCAGGCTTTCGTTTTCACTCTGAGACAGGGTCTCACTAGGTTGCGCGGGCTGACCTCCAACTCGTGACGCTCCTGCCTCACCTCCCGAGCGGCTGAGGTCACAGGTGTGGGCCACCGTGCCAGGCTCCACGTTTGAGTCACATTCCCTGGTTCTGGGAGCCACTCAAGCAAATCAATTGAACTCAGAGAGCCCCCACGTGTGGAGTCAGAGCTGCTCTGTGCTCCCTGCTGAGCGGGGAGAGCCAGGGCCCTGCCCAAGGCCTCACAGAGGCTGGGCCCTCCCGCCTGCTCCTGTGCACCCCCAGGGTCCGGTGATAATGGCAGCAGTGAGAATGCTGGAAGCTGGCCCGCTCCAGCCCTCTGCACGGACCACGTGCTGTGTCAAGCTCCGTGTGTCACACCAGGTGGGCCCTTGTTTACAGACAGGTAAACTGAGGCACAGAGGCTAGTCTCCTGCTGAGGGTCAGCCAGGTAAGAAGTGGCAGAGACGGGATTTCAACGAAGGGCCCAGAGACTTAATGGCTTTGCAACCTGGGTGTCTGTTCCCCAGTTCCTGATTAGGGGTTCCCAGAGGAGATGAGCCTCCCAGTGCCCAGCATGCAAGTGGCTCCCTGTCTGCAGGGCTGAGGGGGGAAAGGCAGAGAGAGAGGGCAGGGGAAGAGCAGGGGGAAGGGGAAGGGCAGGGGGGCGGGCCGCAGCTCACCCATGCCGATGTGGTTCTTGCAGCCGTCGCACCAGATGTTATATGGCATCTCGAATCTACAGAAACAAATAATTTCTTTTTGCTTTTTGCTCCTAGATGTTATTTTTTATGCTCGTTAGTTATACACGCCAGCAGAACGCGTTCTGTTGTACACAAATGGAGCGCAACTTCCCGTTCCCCTGGCTGCACACGATGCGGAGTCTCAGCGGCCACACACAGGGGGATCTGGCTTTGGCTCATGGGGCAGGGTCTTGCTCCGCTGCTCAGGCTGGCCCTGAACTCCTGGGGCTCAAGTGAGCCTCCTCCCTCAGCCTCCTGAGCAGCTGGGACCACCGGGGTGGCCACCGCACCTGGCCTGGCTTGACTCTGCCTCCCTGTCCTGCAGGTCTCTGCACCGTGGCTCTAGACTCCTGTCCAGAGGGGAGTCTGTGGCTGCAGCCCTGGAGTGAAGGCCTGCTTTGGGCAGTCAGTGGGACACAAGGGAGGGACAGCGTGGCAAGTGTGGGCCTCGGCCTCCGGAGGCCTGGCGGGCGTCTGCTTCCTCTTCTGGAGACCACGCACTGCGCTGGGAGGACAGGGAAGGCCGGGCTCATGTGCTGGAGGCAGAGTCCAGCCGTACAGGACCTGCCAGTCCTTCCCAGGAACTCCCCAAGACACAGGAGGGCCCGGGCCTGCCCTCCATGCCCAGCAGAGGCCTGCGGACGGGCCGGCACTGACGGTGTTGATTCTGTCGTGTGGCAGAAGTGGACCGAGACGGGGCTTTCTGCCTCACGGAATCAGGGCCCCACAGCACTGGGCCCATGAGAGGGGCTGAGCCTGAGGCCAGGGTGCACAGGGCAGGGCGCCCCCGGTGGTGCCAGGGTGGTGCCAGGGTCTTACCGGATGACGAGGATGCCTTGGGACAGCTTCCGGGCCCGCTCCCGAAGTGGGTGGCTGTTGTGGTATCGATTGAGGGAGCCATGCTGTGGGCAAGAGCGAGAGGTCAGTGCTGCAGGGCGGGCAGCTCAGGTCTTCTGCGGCCCACTGCTCTGGGCCAAGAGGCCGGCGGGGCAGAGAGGCCTGGTTGTCCTACCCTGTGTGTGGGGTGGGATGGGGTGGTCAGAGGTGGCAGGGGAGGCACAGAGGTCTTAGGGAAGCAGGGGACCTGGAATCAGGACTTCAGCTGTCCCTCCGTATCCCCAGGGTGGGCTCCCGGGCCCCAGGGACACCCCGTCTGTGTGTGTTTGAGTCTGATATAAATTGGGGTAGCTGATTTCTTGTGCTTAAATCAGCACAAGAAACTAACACAGGGCATGCTCAGCACAGAAGCCGCTGGATTTCCCAGGAGGTTCTCAGTCTGCAGTTGGTGAATCCAGGGACAGGGAACCTGCAGGTGGAGGGCCGCTGGGAGGGCCGACAGTCCTGCTCCCGTTTCTGAGCTGAGGGAGTGACGTGGGCAAGGAAGCTCAGTTTGCCCTTCTGGGCCTCAGTTTCCCCGTGTATCAGCGGGGCTGCTGCTCACTATCACCTGCAGGTCTGGTGGGGAGGGTCGGGAGAAGGACCGCAGTGCCAGATGCTCACTCGGCACTCTACGTGCGTGACCTCATTGATCACCCAAGGATTCAGTGAGGTCAGGCTGTACTTTCCTCCAGAGCCACCACTCCAGAAAGGAGGAGTGCCAGGCCCAGGGGCGCGTGCTAGGGTCCTTGGGCCTAACTTAAGTGCCTTCTGCATGGGGAGGCAGCCATCAATCAGATGAACACCCCTGCCCTGGGGAGAGGACGTGCTAGTTGGGGAGATGAATCACATGCCAAGAGTTAAAATGGCGGTGGAGATTAAAGAGAAGCAGCAGGTGATGTGGTGGAGAATGAGCCAGTGATCAGGGAAGACCTCCGCAAGGAGCTTCAAGGAATACAGGAGATTCGGGTCAGAAGGAGGAAAAGCTTCCAGGTGCAGGAGCTGGGGCCGGGAGGGCACTGGATCTGACCCAGAGTCCGTGTGCTCAGCCCCACTCGGGCACAGATGGCAAGGTCACTGAGGACAGCCACACGTTACCAGGGATGAAGAAGACTCTAGAGCAGATCTTGGGGCTCCCATCCTGGCCCCACGTTCAGGGCACAGCGTGAGTCTCTGCTGAGGGACGTGGAGGAGGCAGGGAGCCCGGTCTTACCTTCTCGGGGTTGAAGTCCGGAGGGTAGTACTTGTTGACACCTTTCCTTTCACCCTGGAAAGCAGAAGAGCCGCGACTTGGAGAGGGCCTGCAGGAGACCTGCCCGTGCCGCCTCCAGGGACAGGACCTCCTACAGGACTGGGTCCAGTGTCTGACCAGGCGGTGGCTACCTGGTGACAGGCCCTCTGTGGCCGCACTGGGAAGTCCCACAGGTGCGGAGTCTCACACTTCACTGTTTGGGGACCATGGCTAACAGTCAGAAACGCAGAGGGCCACTGGCTTACAGTGGTCCCACTCACGACAGCAAGTGCTTGACCATGGAGCTGCAGCCCCAGGCCCTGGACTAGTGATTTTTGACTTTACAACAGTGCAAAAGTCAGGTGCTTGAAAGCTCGGAGTGAAAACCACACTGGAGATTCTGCAAGTGAATCTCGCCACAGGCCATGATATTCCTGTGAGCCCATCTCCTGATGCTGAGGGCCCCAGTCACCCTGGGATCTGAGGGTGCGCTCCCTGCTAGGCTGGAACGTGGGCAGACGTGCAGACTCGGCACGTGTTGACCTCTGGTGTCTTCACCACAGTAAGCCGAGCGCTTCCGCTTTTAACGTCACCACTGTGCAGACACACACGTAATGCAGCTGAAGCCCAGGTCTCCTTAGGGATCACGAATGCTGGCACATGTCCTAGTAAATGCTGGCATCACCCGCCCAATGGACCTAAAGACCCCTCAGAGCGCAGCTTCTCAAACCTGGCTGTGCAATTTGACTGTACGGCCACCTGAGGTGCTTCAAAAGTACAGACACCAGGACCCATTTGGGCATGGTGCTTGGACACTGGGCCTTTCAGCAGCTCCCAGGAAAGGAGACACAAAGCCCAGGAGACACACATTCCAGGAACACACCTCTCAACAACCGGCAGATGGAAATGACCCAAGTGTCCATCAACAGATGACAGATTTCAAAAACGTAGCCCAGGTTAGGGACGTAGCTCAGTGGCAGAGTGCTTGCTTGGCACATGTGAAGCCGAGTTCCACCCCCAGCACCACCCAAAGAGAGTCCCTGGGTGACCATTTTAGTGCATAATGAAGGTTCAAGCCTACCACACCAAAAAATCACAATCTGGAGTTTGAAATCACCAATTATGCAGAATCCCACCATCATGCACAATTAAAATGCACCGATTAAAAATATGGAAAAAAATGACTACCTTGGAGCTTGTGGAGGACGAGGACAGGGCCACTCTGGGGACCCCACAAAGACCCAGGGCAAACCACAGGGAGCACCAGGCTGTCTACTCACCATCTTGGGAGCTGTCTAGGGTCCTCGCCCTGGAGGCAGTCAACCTGGAGTTCCTCTGTCACTGCGTGGACCAGTCCTGCCCTCCTGCAGGCTTCCCTGCAAAGAGGCCAAGAGGTGTGATTCCTTTAGAATCAATTTGTGGGCCCTGCCTGCCTCTTGGAGCTGTCTGTCTCCCTCTGGGTCCTGGGTCCCAGCGCTGGCTTCCCGGCCGTCTTCAGAGGCCCAGTGCAGCTGGCCTGCCACACTCTCCCTCTGCCCCTCCTTTTTGGTTTCTGCAGTGCTGGGGATGGGACCTGGGCCTCGTGCATGCTGGGCCAGCGCTCCACCCGAGCTGCACCTCAGCACTGAAGACGTGGGTTGTGTTTTCTTTCCTCTGCCCTGAATGCTCTTCCACAGGCCACATGCTGTTAATGCACCTTATAGGCTGTCATCTCGGTCAGGTGGCCCGTGCCACCTTTGGATGCTGACTGGAGACTGAATGAAACAACTGATGGAGGTTTCAGAAGTGTCCACTGGGTGACCCAGGTACTAAATGTGCAGGCTGGAGGCGGCAGACTACCCCCAGGGTTTACAGGAAAGACTTTTAGGTCAAATAAAAGGAAGTTCTAGTTTACATTAAAGAGTTCACAGCCGGGTGAGGTGGCCCAAGCCTCTAATCCGGGCCGTGGCTCGGGAGGCTGAGGCAGGAGGATCACAAATTCAAAGCAGACCTCAGTAACTTAGCAAGGCCCTAAGTAGCTTAGTGAGACCCTGTGTCAAATGAAAATAAAAAAGGCTGGGGATATGGCTTGGTGGTTAAGCACCCCTGGGTTCAATGCCTGTTACCAATAAATAAATGAATAAAGGCCAGATAGTTAATGTTTCTGGATTTTTGGCCCAGAATGTCTGTGCTCAACAACTCAAAGCTCTCCTCAGAGCCAAATTAAAGATATGCATATGATGGGCATGGCTATAGTCTAATAAAAAATTTTATTTATGGACTCAAAATTCGAATTTGAAATTGCTACTACCTGTCACAAAATATTATTCTTTGGATCTGTCCCCACAATGATTTAAAAATTTAAAACCATTCTTTACTTGAATATTGTACAAAATCAAATGGGCCGAGTTTATCAGCTCTTGCCCAAGAATCACGAAGACTGGTCTCTAACTACCTATTTAGCCTACTTATGTATATGCTCTCTAAAGATTTTTTAAAAATTAATTTTGGTGATAATGGAGATTGAACCCAGAGGAGTTTTACCACTGAGCTACATCCCCATTCCTTTTTAAAATTTGAGACAGGACCTCCCTCAGTTGACCAGGCTGGTCTCCAACTTGGAATCCTGCCTCAGCCTTTGGATTAAAGGTGTGCACCACCACACGGAGCATGTTCTCTGATGTTCACTGAGGGGCAGGCAGGGTGGGGTCTGAGGAGGAGGAGGAAGAAGAGGAGGAAGAGGAAAAGGAAGAGGAGGAGGAGGAGCTGATACAGCTAAGTTTAGTCTGCATTATGCTACTATTATCTCTGGATAACCAATGAGGACAGGGGTGGGGGGTGGGATCTAGTAAGTTGCCCAGCCTCAGAAGCTGATAGCAAAGATTCTAAGGGAGTGGGGGTAGGGGTTTGTGCAATGCCCATGATGTAAACTGTTCTGCCATTTCCTTGAAACTATTTTCGTGTGTGTCCCTTTGAATGGGATTTTTTCAAGGTCTTTTTAACCCTAAAAAGTCCTTTTTACCAACGAAAAAACTTAAGTGCCCATGCAGGCTTTGGGGGGTCACAGCTCCCTGGGCTTAAATCCCAGCTCCACTCCTTACCAGCTGGGTGACCTTGGTCAGTGTCTGAGTTTCCCTGGGCTTTTGAAGAGTGGATGATGACGACAGTGGATGACTTTGGGGGTTGCTGTGGATGCAGTGATGCACGGGAAGTGCTTGCACAGTGTTAAACACGCAGCTCACAGGAGCTGGATGTGTGTCTTCAAGTGTTTTTACCCCCCCAGTGAGTGGCACAGACAAGGCCACAGAACGATGGATGGAAATCCGATCTTCAGTGTCAAAAGAGTACTGACCCCATTGGCCCAGAGTCACAGGGTGAATTTGGATCTGGCATCTGCGGAGTCCTAGATGCTTGACGTAAACTGCGGATTCTCTGTGAGCCTCACTTTCCTCCGCTGTAAAACGGGGGTTTACAAAAAGCATCCACCTGCTAAGGCTGCCTAAAGACCAGGTGGGCTGCAGTGTCGGGGCAGCGCCCGAGGTCGAGGTCAACGGTGGCAGTTTTAGTTCTCCTACCCACCGTCACCACTTCACCACGGCTTGGCAAGGTAGGGGCTGGCTGGTCTCATTTTCCAGAGGAGAAAACGGGGCGGCCCTTGAGAGACCGTAGGGGCCAGGGCAGGGTAGGGGGCGCCGCTGGAGCCCTGTGAACTTGGGTCAGGCGACGCGGCTGGCACCTCAGAGCCCCACTTCTCCCGAAGCACCGTCCGCAGGTGGGCGGTGGCCAGACCTCCGGCTCCACGCAGCCAGCCCACCCACTCACCAGCACACCAGCGCTTACCTGCCCTCCAGCTGACGTCACGCCGCTACTGGGCCCGGAAGTGCGCCCGGCCGGCCAGGGAGCGGATCGCCCTTCCCGCGTGACGGGGACGCCGGCGTGAGGCGGGGCGAGGCAGCACGTCACGCTGATTGGCTGGCTGCCGAATACGACTCGCCCTCTCAGCCCCGGGAGTGGATCAATTCAGGACTGCCCCGCCCAACCGCACAGACGTCACGGTGCCCCACCCCCGTCCCCGCCCACTCCGCCAGGCCCAATCCGAGGCCCTCCTCCCGACACCGCCCACCAGGAGCTCCGTCTGGCTGGCTGAAGCGGGAGAAGCCCGGTGGGCTCGCTCCAGTGAGGTCCCCGAGTAAACCAGCCAGCCGCCACCGCTGAGCCACACCTCCAGCCCAGTCCCTTGTTTTTGAACAGCTAGTAAACTAAGAATTGTTTTTCCTTTTCTTTTTTGGTACCGGCGATTGAACCAGGGGCTCACAACCACTGAGCCACATCCGCAGCCTTTTTGTATGTTTTATTGAGAGACTGGGGTCTCGCTGAGTTGCTTAGGGCCTCGCTAAATTGCTGAGGCTGGATTTGAACCTGCTGTCCTCCTGTCTCAGCTTCTGGAGCCGCTGGGATTACAGGACAGCACCACCACGCCCGGCTTTTGTTTTTCCATTTTCAAGTGATTGGGAGGGGGGGAAAAGTTTCATTTCTTGTGAAAACAGTAATTTTAAATTCCACCGTCCGTAAATAGTTTTAATGGAGTACAACCACACCTACTCACTACTACCAGGTCCGAATTAAATGGTTGCAACAGAGAGTGTGTGGGCCACAGAACCTCCAGTATTGAATATCTGCCCCTTTATGGAGATGGGCAGAAGCTTGCCTGAGAGCTTCCAGACCAGCTGAGGGTGCTTTCTGCAAAGGGGAGGAGAGGCTTTTGAGAACTTTCTAGCGTGTAGGGCCCACCAGCATGGGCTTGATAATTTTGTGTAAGGGATGTTATCAGGCATCTGCTGTCTGCCAAGCCTCAGGGAGAGAGAGGAAAGGACATACCTTTTCCTCCACAGTCAGGCAGATAACTGACAGTTTATCACAGGCAGTGTGAGAAGTGATGACAATGCTAATCACCCATGATATTACTTCCTGCCAGGTTTCATCTGTTCTAAAGCCCTCACAGGTAAATTCTCATGTAATCATGGTGCTTCATACTGGGCTGGGCATGGGCTGCTCAATAAGCATCACCCACTCACTGGGTACTGACCTCAAACAATGCTCCTAGGAGGTGGAACTTCTTTATTGTTCCCATTTTATAGATTAGGAGATAGGTTCAGAGAGGTTAATCAATTGGCTAAAGCTCTGGCCTCACTAAATTGCCAAGGCTGGCCTTGAACGTGGGGGTCTCCCGTCTCAGCCTCCTGAGTTGCTGGGATTGCAGAATGAGCCACGGCACCCGGCTTAGTCAGGTCTCTTCTAAGAGAGAGACCCCAGCCCCTCACTGAGAGCACCTTGGGAAGAGGGGAAGGGGAGACTAAGGGGATGACATGCTGTTTCCAGTGACCTCGGTCGCCACCTGGAGACCTCACCCAGCACTTGGAGAGGGGTCCACCGCCTCCTGAAGGTCCCCCCAACCACACGCCCCTGGAGGTTCTCAGGGCATTTTCACACTGCCACCCTGGGCACCAGGTGTCACCATGAATTTGTTGGGGGCGATTGTTACAGAGCTGGGGTCTTCTGAGAAACTGAGGCAGTGTGAAGACCCCCTTCAAACCCTGATTCTTGTGACCAACTCAGATTTCAGACATGTCACTCAGAGTAACAGGAAGGAGTTTATTGAAGGGACAGAGAAAAACGAAAGGGGGCCAGGTGTGGTGGCACACGCCTGTCATCCCAGCAGCTGGGGAGGCTGAGGCAGGAGGATCATGGGTTCAAAGCCAGCCTCAGCCACAGCGAGGCACTAAGCAGCTCAGTGAGCCCCTGTCTCCAAATAAAATACAAAATGGGGCTGGGATGTGGCTCAGTGGGCGAGGGCCCCGAGTTCAATCCCCAGTAACCTCTGGAGGGGAGGGAAGGAAAGGAGACCCTCTGAAGGGAGACGGTGGGTCCTCTCAGAGAGGAGAGGGGGAGTCTGTCTCTCCTGCATCCCAGTTTTATTGGGGGGCCCAGAGAAGTTTCCAGAGAGTCCTGCCCAGTCCACTTCTTGACTTTTGGCTGACAGAAGGACAACCTTAGATTTTCAAGTCCCTGCTCTCATGGTGATTCTAGGTTACCTTGGCCCATACTGACCAGTTGTAATTGGATTCTCTCTCTCTCTCTCTCTCTTTAGTTGTAGATGGACAGAATGCCTTTATTTGTTTGTTTTACGCAGAGCTAAGGATTGAACCCCGTGCCTCACACGTGCTAGGCAAGTGCTCTGCCAATGAGCTACAGCTCCAGCCCTCTAATTGGATTTTTTAAAATATTTCTTTCTTTTTTTTAGTTGTAGTTGGACCCAATACCTTTATTTATTTATTTTTTTTATGTGGTGCTGAGGCTCAAACCCAGGGCCTCCCGCGCACTAGGTGAGTGCTCCACCCCTGAGTCCCAGCCCAGCCCTCTAATTGGATTCTTTTTTTTTTTCCCCCAAATAAAATCAGAATTTATTATTTAATCACACCTCAAAGTTTGAGTTTTCTCTTGGTACAAAGCAACCACTACATACACATTAAAATACTTATTTGTTAATGWAATAATTTTTCCCTGGCTCATCCAACGTGCAATGCACATGACTCCAAAGACTAAAATTTGGGGCTAGTGTACATGAACTGAAAAATCACAACTCCAAACTTCAAAACTAGTTCTTAAAATTATTTATAGGACACTCAGGTTATTTTTATTTCTCAACAAGATGTTGCACTGTCATTTGATTATCAGTCTACCTCAGCACAAAAAAATTACCAGATGCCAATTTGAGGGACTAAAAAAATTGAAAAGTACTAGATTTAACAGCTCAGTAAGATCATTACAAACAAGTTTGTTTACATTCTGCTGAAAACCCCTGAATGGTCTCAGCAYCTACCAAAATCTACCAGGCTCCAAGGACCATGTCAGGTTAAATGATGGCACCACTTTTTAAAAGGAGCCAATTACTTTAGCTAAGTCATTCAGAGCCCAAAATCTGAAGAATGACCAAAATCAAATCTTTATTTTTATAACTGTATAAATGTGATCCAAATGTGTCCACCACTAGTTTTTCCAAAAGAAACATGCTATAAATAAGCAAACTACATCTGCTCACTGATGTGTGTATGGACTTCCTAGATGTCTCATTGGGCTAATTACAGACCACTCACAGTAATAAATTTTTAGTATTAAAGTGTAGCATGATGTTAAGCCATTTTAGCTTTTACACATACATGTTGCACTTCTGGCTGATTATGGAGAAAAATTTGCAGCATTACACTGTTAAGCTAGGTTGCATCCATTCTTTTAAATGGCGTCAA